AACTAAGGCTGCAATGTAGTTTTGACATGAGGTTCAAGTCACAGCTGTTTTCACTTCTGAGTTGCAACAAGCTGCTTAATCCTTCAGTTTCTTCCCCTCTTCTGTTCAAACCAAAGTAAGAAGACTAACATCAACTCAGCAAAAGCTCAGATCAGATGTACAAGTAGTCGCAAGGATTTCAGAGCTGAATTTTCATATAGGTGATGCTTTTGTTCATCTACAGAATATAACATGGCCTACCACATTGCAATGCTCTTCTAAGTATCTTTGCTGCATCCTTATTTTTTCTGCAAAACTTTCTGTTCTTTTTCTTAAATACAAATTCCCATTGTCTTGGAGTAGCAACATCTCCAGTACTGTGTTCAGTTTTGGGCCCCTCACTACAAGAAAGATGTTGAAGCCCTGGAGCACGTTTAAAGAAAGGCAACAAAGCTGTGAGGGATCTGGAGCACAGGCCTTATGAGGAGCTGCTGAGGGAACTGAGAGTATTTAGACTGGAGAAGAGGAAGCTCAGGGGAGACCTGAAAGCTAACTGAAAGGAGGTTGTGATGAGCTGGGTGTTGGCCTCTTCTCCCATGTAACTAGTGATAGGCCTAGAGGGATTGGCCTCAAGCTGTTTCAGGGAGACTGAGGATGGATATTAGGAAAAAAATCATTTTCTGAGTGGTCAGGCACTGGAACAGGCTACCTAGGAAGGTAGTGGAGTCACTGTCTCTGGAGGAGTTCAAGAAATGTTTAGACATGGTAAGAAAGGAAATGGTTTAGTGGGAAATACTGGTGGTAGGTAGATAGTTGTACTAGATGATTTTGGAAGTCTTTTCCAAGTCTAATTATTCTATGATTCCATGATCTCTTAATGAATACAAAACTGACTTTGAGATTCTAGGAGAAGGCCATGCCAAACTTTATCTTCACAAAAAGTAGGTGCAAAACACAGCCTTAGCATAAATACAAATAATGCCACATAACCTGGAAGAGAATCATGCTGTTACTGCAAACAGGAAGTTAAAACAGGAGCTTTACTGCAAGTCATTTGGAATACATTGGTTATTTATTAATTAGTAGAGTCTGACTGTGATTCTTTTAAACAATAAAACCATCTTTAATCAATAGGAACCCTGAATGCTGTGTCTGGAGCCCATAACTGCTGCTGTGCTGCAGAGAATTTCAGGGAAATAAATGCTCAGCAATTTTCTGAAAAGCAGCATCAATCTATGACTTTCTGTCTCTAAACCTACTCACGATACTATTTCATATTTCATTCTGAAATCCTTGGCTAAGTAGAAATAATTTTATTCCAATTCCTTGGCTACGATGTATTAGCATTACTCTGATATTTGTAATTGGCTTTTGGAAGCCTTATCACAGCTCATGCAACCTCATTTAAAAAAAAAAAAAAAAAAGAGGTAGGATAAATACAGTAAAAAACTTACAGAGATGGATAGATTTGAAATAACAAGAAACTGGAATCATAAAAATTGGAATGTGTGTATCTAACTAAACGTACCTTGTGTTCCTCATGTCACTGATCTTTAAATTACTGGAAAAATTTCCACATTAAGCAAACATGACCAACTAAGCATATCAAATATTCCTTTCTCTTGCTGCTTTTTTATTTCCTGGCCAGCGTACTAGAAGTCACTGGCTGCTGATTCAGTTCCTATTGCATTACGTAAAGTAAAGCTTCCTTTCATTCTGGTTATTACAGTAGCAAAAGCTTAAAATAGATTGCGAAGAAATAGTCAATAGGAGATACACTGCCACACTCACCACTTAATTTCACACTGACGCATGATGGTGTCGTACAGTCAGATTACCATAAAACATCGGGACTGGAAGAGATCTCATTAGAAGTTCTTTGTGAAGAAGGCAGTACTTTCACAGGATAACAAAGCTGCAGCTTTTTTTTTTTTTTTTCCCCCAAAGTATCTGGTAAAATATTCTTTTGAGAAACTGTGATAAATACCTACAGTTCTTGTTCATGTTATTCTTCTCTGATTGACTCTAATGAGTCTCCATTTGTCTTGTAAACTGAATACTTAATCACTGTGTTCAGAATGACATCAAGTTATTACAGAGATCAGTATATTTAAAGCGAAAAGCTATTAAGTGGCTGATTTGCAATCCTGCAGGGACTTTAGAATCTATATTAAATAATACATAATTTATATTTCAGGATTACGGAATTGGCTCCATCTAGCTCTCTGCAGTTTATAAAGCGAGCTGCCTCATTAAAGTTTCCAGCACTGACCACTGGTGGCTTCCAGCAGAATTCAGAGACACAAAATGCTCAAAAACGCTGCTTATCAAATTCTAGGAGGTGGCTGCAAAACTCACGTGATGAAGGGAGATGCGGGGAAATTCAGGCATGCAAAGTATCAGGTCTGATGTTGGGAAACTCTGTCTCACCTGGTTTCCTCCAAAAGACTTAGGAAGGGAGAGACTTCTGCAACTCCACTGCCCCAAGGCAGCTTGACATGTCCCCAGTCACCCCTGGAAGGGGCCAGGTTTAGGGCTGATCTTCTATTGCTTGTACCAGGGTTTCAGTGGCACTGCAGAGACCAGATTCCCTCCAAAAGTTGAGGTATTTTTAAAAAACTTTAATGATATGTCCAGACCCATGGGTGATGAAATATTCCTCCGCATTGAATGAATGCATGGAAGTTTGCCTTCATTTCCATGGGGCTTAAAACTGCAACCAGACTTCAAGCTGCATTCTGCTTATGCAGAAACAGCAGCAGAGCTGAGTAAGAAAACAGATACTACGATTTCCCTGTTTTCCCATCTGCCCAGACGGACAACACCAACTGTGCCATGTTTCTGTTTCAGTAATTAGATATCCCAGACTGTTAATTGAGGTTAACCATCTTTTAGACTGTTGTTTTTTTTTTTAGACATTACTCTTGGTCAGATGCGAGTGTAGCAGCAAACCTGTTAATCAAACAAAAATGTCAAATAACAGGTGCCAAAGGGATAGGTGTGGAGCCAGAGAATGGTTTGTGTTCATCACCTAGTGTCAATCCCCAATCCTTTATAATGCATAACAGATTAAAAGTTATCCATCAGTCTGTCTACCTTCCTCAGGTCCCTCAGTGATCCCTGAAGCCAGCATCTCTCAAAACAAAAGGGGAAAGTAAGAGAAGGAAAGGGTAAGAAAGAAAGGGAGAGGAGAAGAAAAATATTTTGCATGCATTTTGTCCATGAGAATTGACATTTTCTCTGCTGCAATATCTGAGACTTCATGAAAGGTTTGGCTATTTTCCGAGATCAAAGAGCATGGTTGGTCTTTCCCTGAGGATAACAAAGGGAATCTATGAGAAAACAAAATGAGGCTCTGGAGAGAGAGAGCTGTTTGTGTCTTAGAGCTATTTCACTATGCAATCATGCATTAGACCTCAGAAGTGACAGTGACAGACTGCTCACTGAAGGCCCTACAAATTGTGCAAATGCAGTTTCTTAAGATATGTGGGGTCGGGAGGATACTTGGGGCAGGGCCAGCTGTGCCCTCCCTGCAGGACACCTGCACCGTCAGCCTGAACATCTGTGTGCCTGGGAGATGAGTGCTGTTCCTGCTTCACCTGTTAGTTCATCAGCCTCCTTCAAAAATACATGCCTCGGTCACCTGGTAAATACCTGAGAATCTCTCCATTGTTTTGAACATGAAAGCGTTAACAGCTTGCACTGAGAACTGACAGCACAAGAAGTCTGGACAGACAACTTCATGATCATAACTTAACCCATGGAATGGGGTAGGTGGACCTGTGGAAGGTCGATTGGGTGGAAGGGAAGCACTCGTGATGGGTCAGCTCTTCCTAACCCAGGAAGCCCTGTGCCTCTGCTGGAGTACATACAGCTCCCTCGCCTGCAGCAGGGACCTGGAGGGCGGGAGGCCTCTCCCCAGCACTGACAATGGTGAGTTTTGCTCAGCAGTGCTATGCAAAGCGGGTACCCACTGGGAAGCATCAGCTTTGTTTATGGAGGTGGTAATTATTACATGGTGACTGCTGTGCTTGTAGCTCTTGCTAATTTTGTTTGGGCTTCTCTTCTCTGATTTACATATAGAGCATGGGTTCCTAATGAACACAATGGGGTGAGTTACAGAAAATTCCGTGGTGAATAATCTGCCCTTCTCCAGCATCAGGTCTCACTGAGCCTGTATTTGTTAAAGAACTTGTTATCTCCAAAGCACAAGTAACCGAAACCCCTTCAGAAAAGCATTATTTATGTATATCAAGTCTGGGTGGCATAACATAATTGTATATAGCAAGGAATCCTTATCTTCCTCTGGAGGGAAGGCATGAAACAAGCCTCATCAAGGAAGCAGCCCGAGTAGCAAGGCAGCCCAAATTCAGGAAAAATATACTGTTCCTTACCACTGATTGCTCCATTACTGGGAAAGTGACTATCAAAGTCCTGACATTTTCCCCTGCATCATCAGTGCCATCATCAGGCAGCAATAACAATGTTAGTGGCGCCACTAACCTTCTGCAGCCTTCGCTTAATGGTGATCAGAGCCAGATCCAAGCAGAGCACAACCGCCTGAAGCACATCCACACCGGAGCTGAGTGTCCAAACACAAAAGGACATCTCTCTGAAAAGCTCCTGTCTCCACTGCCAAAGCCAGCAACTGCTTTGCTGCTGCAGACATTTGCGTTGTCCACATTTGTAGGGCCCACAGCCCTGTTGCTGTGGCGTGATGGGGGCCCCACTTTGTTCTGACAGGCAGCAAGGGCCAGCTGAGGCAGGAATCTGTGCTGGAGCAATGGAGAGAACAGGAGCTGTCCTTGGAAAGGGGACAGTTTGTGCTCTGACCTACACACCGTGGAATATTTAAACATTGTGCATAAGATAGATGGACAACTGGTAGAAAAAAGCTAACTCCCTTTGTGGAGCTGACTAGTGTTTTAAAGCACTGAGACTGCACAAACAACTTCCCTGTTGAGATTTAGTTAATTTAATGATGCAGAAAAAAATAAAACCCTCATCTTCCACAGGACGTGTTCAGTTTTCAAGGCTGACAGATTTTATTTTGCTTAAGGAAGTAAGCACCACTTTTTAGAACTGAAAGCAAATCCTGAGGTTCCCAACATACTTTTGTTTACCTCTCATATTTAAATTGTGTTCATAAAACTCTTAGAATTACATGCATCCTGATGAAAAGCAATTGCAAAGGTTGGTAATTTGCTGTGAGTCATTGCTAGGGATAGCCATAATCTCTGGTCTGAACTGGTGCTACCATTCATTCATCTGCTCCTTTGGCTGTCTTTAGAGAATCCTTTGTACATATCTCTGAAGTTCTCTGCATAAGTCAGCCAATTGTTTTTCAAAAGCCTTTACATCGTCCTAGAAATTATGCAGGTGGGATTATAAATACCAAGTCACAGTAGTTGTATATATTGCTAAGATATCTATCATTGCAAGCTGAAATACTAAATGTATTGGACAAAGGCCTGGGCACCCTACTCTGGGTGTCCCTGCTGGAATAGGGGTTGGACCAGACACACCAAGGGTCCATTCCAGCCTCAGCCACACTGAGATTCTGTCTGTGATTTATTTTTAGTTCACCTTGACCTAGCCTTCATCAATCATTTTCTCATTCAGTAGCAGGATTCTTGTTCAGCATGCTATTGGCTTTGAAGCCTCCCTTCCTCCCTCTCCCATTTCAGAGGGTACAGTTTCTCCACTAAGTTCTAGAACTTAGCAGCTCCCGTACATTGCTTGCATTTGAACAGAAGGCTGAGAAGTATATGGCAGCTGCACTGTCTGTTCTCCTGCAGAGGTCAATAGTTTTGATTTGTCTTGATCTGCTGACTATTTTGTAAGAATCAGCTTGAATGTGTAGCATCACACTGTGAAGGCTGTGCCTGCACTACTTCTTCCTGAAGCCAGTATTTGCAGCTGTCAGCTTTGCTTAAACTAATGCATTACATTTGAACTGTGAAGATTTTGTACATAATATATTTTGTCTCCCTAGGCATTATTTGGAGATATAAAGGAAAACAATTTATACTACAATTAAAAAAAAAAAAAAGAGGCTATTGACTCAAGCTTCCATTAAGCCTGTACAAAAACCAGCAATATTCCTATTGCTTCTATTTGAGGTTTCCTTCAGCCATTGAGAGGAACAAGGAATTAAAATAACCAGTACACCCAGCAATCATTCATCTGACAGGAGAGTGTACCATTACGGATTTTGTCTTTTTTCTTGTGCTGACCCTTGCTCCCAAGATGACAACATCCAGAGATTTTGAGAAGTCAATTGTTCTAATCGAGAACTGTATTCATAATCAAGCTGTATTGGTACTCTTAATTGCAAACAGACATGATATCATATACAATGCATACATAAACATATACACATACAGAAGTTTTATAATGCGCTCTTCACTGTTCTTATCAGACTATTACACAATTATTAAAGTCAACCCCAGAGAAAATACTGGATCAGAGCACTCCCTGAAACATGGCCAAAAATACCAGTGCACAACAGATAATTTCTGGTCTTTGAGTCACCTTCCGCTCAGAAATGCATGCAAAGTTCTCATTGAATCAAGAGCAGGATTGATCCCGTTACACTTCAAAAAAGATGTAAAAGTGAATTTCAGCCAAAAGTCACTGAAAAAAACCCTAAAATTTAATATAATCATAAACTCCTTGAAATCAGTTCACCCAAAAACACTAATGTATTAAAACAGCAGTGAACTTATACCTCTTTACAAGAATACAAGAAGTACCACATGCAACATCCTCTGCCTTTTCCCTTCAGAATTTCATATTTTTGATGTCAAAAATCAATTTTGAGTATTTCCATTACAACAATAATGGTATAGGGAGAAAGAATAAAAGGATAACTTTTTCACTGTTGATTTTAAAGGTTGTACAGAATATTCCAGATCTGTTACATTAGTATACTCCTTGACTCGGGAAGGAAAGAAGTTTGAAAGAAAAAACCCTCACTCCACTGAAGTGTTGACATGCTAAAATGCAGATCATACCCAATCTCATTATTAAAAAAAAAATAAAGAATTCAAAGTTCTAGAGAAGACTTGAACCCCCTTCTCCCCCCCAAAAAAAAACCAACAACAGTACTCTGGAATGGCAAGGTAACAGCCTTAAAGGAGAGGTACAGGGACAAGCAAAATAAATATGAATGGTTTCTAAACCTAAGAGAAATCATACATTTGTCCTTAGCAATGCTTTTACTATTTTTGCAGTAATACATTTTTCTAACAGATGGTTCTTTGAGTTGTAATTGTCCTTCAAAGACAATTTTGAGACACCTGCATCACCATAGCACTGTGTGGAGGATCTCATCTAAATCAGTTCTACTTGGAAGCATGCAACTTCATGGCTAGTTATTGTTATGGGATTAAAAACACCATTGCACATTTGTACTTTTCACCGAAATCCCTGCAGTATTTCCTGCTTGCCTATAAAAAGCTGTTTCTCAGAACCAAGTGATTATATGACAATCTTATTTTTAAACAGAATTTCAGGCATATACTTCCATGGAAGTGCTAACTGTTCAAGTTTGTTAAAAATTAAGAATGTTTCTAGAGTCCAATATTATTTTCCTATAATAGCAGACAATTTAAAATCAGTCACTCTTCATGATGGTATTAGTCACTGTACCAAAATCAACCTATGAGCAGGTGAAGGCACAAATACAATCTTGGGGTTCTTTTACAGATGCCAGTAAGTTGTAGCTGTTAAAAGGTTGTCATTTTCAGGCACCTGTGATATGAGTGAGGAAAGGTTTAATGCTACAGAATGGGGCTGTAATGCTACAGAATTTCAGTAGTTCAGTGCTTCTGGAGAACATACTTACATAAAGCACCAGACAGATCTCAAGTTCTTCCATTTTACAATATTCCCTTCAATAAATTGTCATCAAGTTGATAAGCATCTTTTTAAAAACAAAGAATAACTTAGCTACCCTGAGTCACTGCCAAAAAGACATGTGGCTGAAGTGGCAGATTGAACTGTAAGTCGTCACAGCTCATTTGAACACTGATTCAAATTAAACAAAATAAGCCAAGAAGCATAGACAAAGCTCTAAATCAGATTCTGATTTTATCTGTATTAGACCAGAAATTCAAGACTTCAGTCTACATAGCTGGTATTACAATGTGAACTATTCTTTTATAATGGTCAAAGCAGTTTTTTGGTTTTCTTTTCCCCCAGCAGAAATGTCCTCAGAATACCTGATACAGGCAAGGTTTTGTAATATTGCTAAGTCAAAATTGCTTTCCAAGGTATGACTTTAAGGGATTGTTGTTGTTAATTTGTTTTGTTGAAGAAGTTTTTCAAGCTTTTGAGGCTCCATTTGTAATCTTGAACTTGTGAAGGATAATAGACTGGGAGAGTGTCATTGCAGACAGATAACTCCTCTGTCACAAGCTGTAAGTTGGTGTGCATTTGGCTGGATTCACCCTTCGGCTCTGTGCAGTTCCTCAGATTCAATTCCTTGGTGAAGCAGAATTCAATCTGACCAAGCGTTTGTGCTTTTTCACTCTATAAACATAAGGAATAAAATCAGCTTGCTACAAGGAAGAAAATAAACCATTCTGTCAAATATATTGCCTTACCTATTGAATACAGCAGTGCTTGCTTGTACAAATACCTTTGGAAAAAAATGTGAAGGAGACAAGTACTAGAAGCATCCACTACAAACATCTTCTAGAACATAAATGTAGACAAGTAAACACATTCCAATACTTTAATTCACTAACAGTTTGGGGAGTGTGCATAACTAGTAAGACTTAAGAGATATCATGGCAGATTGTTTTACCATTTAGCAAACTAGCCCTGTACACAGAAGCTGCTCATCTTGGCAATGAGCTCTGATTGAACTCTGGGCATATTAAAGGATAATGTCTGATTCAAAAGGCACGTTCCAGCAACTCTTTTACAGAAGGATGGGAACTGAACCAAAGTAAGCTCTCCAAAGAAAAGAAAAAAAAACCTTGGTTTTATAGTAGTTTCTACTGAAGGGAATACAGAAGTAGGCTGCCAAAATTAGTGGAAAAACCACTTTTGGACTGCAGAACAGGTTAAAATAACCCACAGCGGGCATTAAAGAAATAATTCTTTCATGAAGGAATGGAGATTGGCAAAATCACAGAGAATGCACACACAAAAAAGTATATGTGGAAAAAAGACCTGTTATGAAACCCTCAAGAAGGGACAGAAGTGACTGCATCCCTCTGAAAAGCCACATTCAACTCATATTCCTTTGTTGCTTAGAGTAACATAAAAATATAGAGTAACATTAAAAAAATAATTTTAACATCAAATTCTTTTTCACATGAAGCAACTTTGAGTATAAGAATCTCATGGCACTACTAAAGCAAATGAGCTGACAACGTAAGAGCTATTAAACTCCATCATCAACTGTATCTTGGGAAGTTTTCATAAGACTGCTCTCTAAGCATGGGCCATAACTCTGGCAAGTGTGGTAAACTACTTTTATTGAGCTGAAATAATAATAATAATAAAAAAAAATCAACAGAAGAGGGAGAACTATCTTGTATGGGTTTTTTTGTTGCTGTTTTTTTTGTGCATGTTTGTTTTTTTTTTTTTTTTAAAGTAGAGTCACCTTTGAGGAAACAAATTGACAAATATGCAACCTATCCATATATTGTTCAGAATAGTACTTTGCTCCTTCAAAAGCATTCTTAGTTCATATAATGAGAACAAGTACTTTATGCTACAGCAAAGCCTATGCACTACATTCTTTGCTGTATTGTGATTCACAGTACAAACTTGGCAAGGAAAAACACAAAGAAATGGAAACATAAGACCACAATAGCTCAAAAGGGAAAACTGAACCTATGACCATCAAAACATCTTCATACCTCTTCAGATAGGGGCTTTTGAGAACAAGCTCAGAAACAAGCATTTAAACTTGTTTTATTTCTGAGTGGTTCTGTATAATGAATAACTTCAAGCAAAACATAAACCATTCACAGTGAAGTAAAGACTGCTTTTAATGGACAGTACCCTTGTCAAGGACAACGCATTAACTAGCTCCTTTCAGCTCATTCTTGTTGGGTCTACTGATTTGTTATATGGCAGTTATGCTTCAGCAGCAGCAGGAGAAAGTACTCATACACAGTTTACCTCTAGTCCAACAAGTACAGCATTCTATAAGAGATGCCTGTTTAAAGTTTAAGGCAAACAGGGCTTAAAAACCCACAACTCCCACTGTCTGAGTACCTACACTCAGAACAAAACTATGGCAAAACAGAAGAATGGACACTTCCCTCCATTAACAATATTTGTGTTAAGAAATGGATATATCAACAGTAACAAGCTGAACTCAGTGGTGTCAGAATGCAGGTAATGTTTTTGTGAACTCAATTTAAGAACTGAACAATACCCAATTTCCAAGGACTGGAACAAACAATGAACACACTGTGCTTTACCATGCTGCAGATTTTTCACTATTTTTACTTTTTTTAAAATTTTGATAAAAATGTGTTTGTTCGAAAGTGATTATTTTGTGGGCTTTTGTGTGGGTGTGTGTTTGGTTTTATCTATTTATTTTGTTACCTCTTCTGGAGGAAGACACTGGATCTTTGGTGTAACACCATAAAGTTTTGTAAGCACTTCCTTTATATCAGCCATCTGAAAAATTTAAAAGCTTGTAAAAATTATTAAGTCACTACCATACCTTCCAACAGTAAATTTGCAAAAAGTTTAAGATAAAGCACAACTTTAAATATAACACATGCAATTAAAAAAATCCACTTACTCTCTAGAAATAACTTGACTTTTGCTGGAAGTGTACACGTGACACTGCTTTTATAAAAGGTCCTTTCTTACCTGGTAGTATGTACTGCCTGGCTTTATCCCAGCTTTCAGAAGAAAACTGAATGAAAGACAAAACATTTTCATGACTTTTATATAGAAATATAACTTCACAAGCGTTTGTTAAATTAATAATGTTAGTGACAACTTAAAGTTATGTTGAACAAGGGAAACTCATCTTCCATCCTTTGCCAGGCCAAGAGAAGGTGCCCTTTTCTTAAAAGAAACTTCCCATTAACTAAGCAGGGTCAGCAAGAACCCCCTATTATACTTTACTCTGAGGAGCCAGGAGAGGGACAAGTCTTCAGAAAACAAACAAACAAGACTGTGTTACTATCATTTGCTGGATCTTCAGACTGTACTGCTGAGAGCCAACATGGCACCCTTCCCTTGCATCAAGCTGTACTCCTGCGCTCTAGCCACTAGGACACAGAATCTGGATTAAGTCAAGTTAATTAGAAACATTTCTAGAAAATCACTTTGTATGTTTTTTAATAGAACAGCTGTTCACATAAGAGCAACAAGATCATTCTCAACAACCTTTGGCTTAAATACCCTTTCCTTTAGATTCAGTCCTGAGTGAAGTTCACACTTCCAGTTTCTAACGAACCTCAGGACCCAAAAGGTGCTGAACCTTAGAATACCAGCTTCTTCACTTCTTCAGCAGTAAGCAGAAATGTTCAACATCTCTTAGGATGATGAGCGCTAATAATGCTCAACCCTTCCAAGGTCAAGTACTGCACTAGGGAGATCTAACCCAACTGTATAAGGATCTACTTGCTAATGAAAATATAATGTTCTATCATCACTTCACAGGAGCCTGTATGACATCCTCTTAATATTATGATCTTTTTAGGAAATTCATGATCATTCTAACACTATTTTTCCCTCATAAAAATATAAATGAAGCAATGAGAACATTAGCAAGCATTTTCCAGCAAAGATTAAATTAATTATGTGGGTGCTTTGTTCCCTCCCTCAGTGTGGAGAATGCTATGAGCAATTAACTTCAAGATGTTTCAATTTTAATTCTTTTTCACTACACATGATGATTTAGAGCCACACAATCGGTCATTGTGCCATCTGTAAGATGTTCTAGTCACACAGCTACTTAGGCAGTTGGTTTATCAGACACTGTTAATTTTAACACTATATACAACATGCACTGTGACTAGAAAAGCATGATTAAGTTTTACAAGACACCTGCAAAAACATGAGTGGGATGGAAAAAATATATTTCCTTTGTGTGTATGCAAAGTAAATAAGACCATTAAATAGATGGCTTGAACAAGACACTCAAAATATGAGCCAGATTTTTAAAAAAATACATATACATTTCTAAATACAAAAGGAGAATTTTTCTCATCTCTCAGATGAAGTCCACCTACACAAAGAGTTGTTTCATGGTCAACAAGCCTGAGTTAAATGTTTTCCCACCCATAAAAGCATTGACCAGGGTAGGACCCTGGACTTCTGATATCTGTAGCCATGATATGTTCATACAGTGCTTGGACAAGTTCCAACACTTCTATCAAGGTACTGTATCTACAATTGCCAGTGCTTTGGAACCATCAGGAGAAATCAGTTCTTAGGACAAAGCAAGAATGTCAGATGGTGATTACTTCTGAAAGAAAAACTGAGAGCTGTACATACCAACTGAACACTGCACTTATGGACAGCCTTCCTTGCTATTATCTCTCAGCATTTTCCCAGGATATTCTGCACAAGTTTGCCTGCAGCTTACCTTGTCTAAGCATAAAAACTGTATTTCCTAAACACAGTTGAGTGTTTAGGTATCAGTACAACTCAGATCTGAAGCTTTTGACACTTGATTTATAAGTTCACGAGTGCCACAGTTTTTGTTAGTGATATACAGCTGATACAGCTTTTCAAAGTTTAACAGCTTGCATTAGAAGGTGACTATGAAACGAAGCATGCTGCCTTATGGGACTGAAGCAACCAGAGACATGTTTCTCAAAGCAGAAACCCCCTCTTCTACATTCCAGTACTAAAAGTTACTTATGCCATTAGATTTTTAGACTCTTCTTTTAAATTAGATTTTAAATTTATAGAAACCGTCTGATGTAAGAGCAGACCAGAGAGTTCATTAACATACCCATTAAGGTCAACACGCTGGTAGAGTTCCAGGGTTTTACTAAAATATTTCTTCTGAGAATCAAGGATTGGAAGCGAGGCTGCACAAGTGCCATGCTTCTCCCACTCATGTTTCCTATAGGAGGAAATCAAAACTCAAGTTCTATAAAACATGATTTACAGCAACATTTATTTCTTTTAGTAGAAGCACTTTTCAAGAGCTTTTGAACCTGTAAGGATAGGGAGAGAAAAGCTAAAACCCCTCATTGTGGTTTGTAGCATCAGGCTAAGGAAGAATTCTTCTGGACAGTAAGCCACATTAGAAATGCATAAATGAGCTGTCCTTAATATTGGCAGCTGCAAGAGAAAAACTTTTCAAATAAAGGTAAGAGCTGCAAAAGAGAAAGGATGATACGGTGGCTTAGACAATAGCATGGACCTGGGAGGTTCCCAATTAGTATTGTGTTTTGTTATACATTATGTATATGAATTTGTCTTAGTCACTTAGTAATGGTTCTGCTCTCTACCAGTTGTCCCACTAAAAGAATAACACTTTCTTTTTTTTTTTTTTTAAATTCTGCACTATCTTTCCAAGATTGAACATTGCAAGGTGAGGAAATGCTAAATGGAAAGGCACAGAGCTACCTATGGACTCTCTACAAGCTTTATCATCTGCAGCAAGACAAGGACACACAGGGCCCAAGTTTTCACACCAGTCTTGTGAATATTCTAGAGTTGAGAACTAGTTTAGAGTCACTACAAAATACAGCAACTTTAAGAACGTGTCTTTTCACATTATTCCATTTTTGCAGCACAGCAACGTGAAAGACATGATGCAAATATAGCTAATTCTGACCATTCAGCACAGGCATGTGAAGTGTTTAAGGGGAAGAGGTGAAGGTAAAACAAGCTGACACAGTTAAACAAGTTGCAGAAAAAAGAATGATAAATCATTTGTTTAGAAATTGAAAGAACATCTCAAAATGCTATTCACTGAGACTTATCCTTCACATAGGCCACAATTAGACAAGGTTCTTGTGCTTGAGCCTCAGCTGGGTGGCACATGGATGCAGAACGTGGCCACCTGTGTGGTTTGTGAAGGTCATCCTCCCTTCTGTACCTCTTCATACTCATAAGCTTGGCAGCTAACACATTCTGTGCTACTGCCTACAACTTTGATATTGTTTTCTTTGTAGAACACAAGTACTTTCACAGGCACACAGTAGTGGGGGTTACAGCATTAGATTGGGTTCCACAATATAATTTGTTCTTCTTCACTGTTTTCTTGATGTTGCTTTTAAGATACAAATACCACACCAGCATATCTAACAGTTAAGTTCTACAAATGGCATCGTAAGTAGCAACAGAAATGCAAAGGAATGAAAATGATACAACTCAGCTATGTGATAAAAAAAAAAATGCTAAACCCTAAGATTTTGGGGTTTTATTAAATATAACAAGGACAGAGTTCCCCAAGCTCAGTATCCAAGAGATGCAGCCCACAGTACTGGGCACATGTCAGGTGGGTCCAAGAGCTGCAGAAATCACCCAGCTTGAAAACTGGTAAGAACCCACACCTGTAAGAGCTGCCCACAGAATGTTTAAGATAAGGGATACCCAGCTGTCCTGGGTAAGCAGAGATTCCTTCTGATATATCAAATGTATAAACTGATCCTGAAGGCAATTCTCTTGACCTAGAAATTTTTATTTGTTCAAAAAAATAAGTCTAAAACTTCCCCAAAAAGTATGTTTTCAGATAGTAAATTTTGAAATGCAAAGCACACATCCTGTTATAAGGCATGCTATCCTATTCAAATTATTGGGTAACAAATTCCACAGCTCTCTAGTAAACAAGGTGAACAAAGATGTGCAGTTATTCTTACAGAGGCATCTACAACCATTCTTTAATCCCCTTGAAGAATCTTTATCTCCTCCTTTAAGCTAGAAATAAGTAAGAGGTAAACACAGGAAAAAACACAGTAAGCAATTTGGGCAGTCAGGGAAAAACCCTGATATGATATGCTAAGATATTCAATAACCATTTTGCTTGTCACTGCTTCTGTTCTTTACCTAACTAAGGTGCCTTCAAGTTACAATGAAAAAGAATCTTAGTTTTACTTTCTGATTCTCATTTCAGTCATTTCGTTTATACTAGACATTTTTTTTTTTAAAAATTGAAGTAAACACTATTTTAACTGAATTAAGATGTACAACAAGATCTTACTGGCTTCCAACTAGCTTAATAGTTGCATTTACAAAATCTGCAATTAGAATTGCCAATTAAAGTTGCTTGTTTCCTTGCTGAGAGGGAGTGATTACTCTGTCAATCAAAATACTAGTTACAGTGTTTTAATTTAACTTTCAGATTACTTTTATACTATTGATAACAAGTGATAATAAGAGATAAGAAATAAATACTGTTCACTAGCCTTGAACAGAAACAAAAGATTTTGATTGTATCTGTTCATATCTGTTACCTACCAAAGTATCTGCATTAGAACAGGTAAGCATTCAGGGCATGGGAGGGACTAGACACCTTTTTCTTATTCCCTGAACAGTTTAACTTGACATAAACTTGCAGTGCCACTGAAATAGATAGTCATACTCTCCCCAGAACAGCACAAGGAGAAGAGTACAGAGAAGCAAGATCACTTTTCTGGAGGAACAATTTTGATGTTCAGACTGATGTAAGATACTCTTAAGACCATTTTAAGACTTGGAGGAAAAAGACCTGTAGAGCAGGGATATTAAAAGAGACTCACATTCCCTTCAAAGATCTGCCCTAGTGACACAGGGAAGTAGTAGTCAAAGGAAAGTCCCAGAGGTAATTACAGCTAAAAAAAGCAGGAGGCAGCAGCATTTAAAGCTACATGCTCTATAATTTCTGATGTTATTATATTCACAGTAGATCTGGCAGAAACAAGTCACATGGAATTGCCAGTGATTTTAGTTTAACAATGCATTCAAACTACTGAAGCCTGTGCAGCCTCAAACATCCATACTGGTCTTCAATCCAAGCACCTGGTGATGTAGAAGCAAAGAGGAACCAGAAAAGAAGAAAATACATGTAGTAACATTATCAGGAGGGATCAAAGTCTCTTTCTCCCTTCCCATATTCCAAGCAGGTTAATCTCTAAACAAATTCCTGGCTGATCTGATTTTAGGCTGCTAGGAAAGTAAAGAACCCTCTGTTGAGAAATACCAAAAGGAAAGCAGAGAAGCTAGCAAGGAGATGATCTAAAAGCTGCTCTTGCAGCTAGTTCTGACATCCCCACAACACAACCACTGTGCAAGATTTAAATGTCAGCTGCAGATGCATCTCTTCCCTGAATAAAAAAGGAAAAAACATTCTACTGCTCACTTTTAGTAAGGTTTGCTTCAAAACCTTTGCCTTAGCTCCCTCTTCAGAACCTGCTATATTAAGAAAACTGAGGGGTGGGGGGAGAAGTGTTTAGATGTACCACTTTCAGTCACTTCCTGGATTCTGCTTCTCATGCATAACACCATTCCTGAAAGATAATCAACTCAGATTGACTTTTTCATAAAATATCCAAAGTTGTTTTTTTAGTTTTGTTTGTACTCACCAGAAGTGGGTACGATTCAGAGATGAATGAATCACATCAGGCCAGTAGCGTCTCATGTCTGACATAAGATCCTATGAAATAACACCATTTCTTAATAAACTTACCTGCTGAGCTTAAAAGCAATTTCTAACAAAAAAAACATAAATTGGTGTTTTTTTTCTAAAACTGAAGCCTTATCTTTCAGCATCACTGAGAAACTTCATCTGCAGAAAAGAAGTCCCTCCTCCCACTTATTCTGGAAATGCTGTTGGAGGTAGTAACAGGCAGATGCAAATACCTGAATATCCAAATACATTAGTACAGACAAGTAAGATTTTCTTTTAGCTGTTCCTTCAGAAATTGTTCAACCACAGAGCTTTTCGCCATTGTAGGATCACGTTTCCCGTTCTCGCATAAAAAACCTCTGGAAGAGGCTGCCTAGGAGGCTGTGGAGTCTTCCTCCTTGAAGATATACCAAGGCTGCCTAGACACAGGCTTGGACGAACTGCACTAGGTGTCTCTGCTTGAGCAAGGTGGGGTTGGATCTCATGCTCTTTAGAGATCCCTTCTAACCTGTTCTGCAACTCAGATGTGGACATTTTAAATGAATTAACACTTAAAGACACAACAAAAAACCATGACCTGACGGTAACCTCTTTTTCACAGATACTGGTTACCACTAGAAATTCAGTGCTTATGTTTCCTAGATGTTTTCTTGCTACATAGGAAGTGGCTTAACAAGTTCAACCACATGTCCATAAAACCAGGTATGAACAGCTGCTACTGATCACATACACTGTGACTTCAAGCAGTACCAGAAGCACTTAATCAACTTTTAGAGTCATACTCCTCAGCAAACTACAATCACAGAGATCTATTTTGAGCTACACATTATACACATAAGAAGCACAAAAGCAATGGCACTGAGCTGTCTGGATGACACTTTTGTTTTTTGTTTTAAAATAAATACCTTAATCTCTGTGACGTTGAAATGCCACGTCCTATTACATTCTTCACCTTTGTCAGGCCTAGAGAAGCAAAATCAAAGTGAAAAAAGATATATTTGCTATTACTAAAGCTGGGAGATATCATAGTCTCAATTTTAAATGAGAAATTATAGCTGAAAATTTGTAAAAATACAAACTGTCCATCAGCATTTATGAAGTTTTGCAAGTAAAAATCCAGTAAACTAATTATGGCTAAAACATTTCCCATATAGAGGCTCTTAATTAAGCCCTACAATTCATCACAATGTGTAATAAATATACAGAGGAAGCACTGATATTGGAATTATCTTGTTAGAATTCTGCACATCATGCCACCGATAACACTAAGCTCCCCAACCACTGCATCAAGTGACAATTCGGCAAGTATTATCAGACAGTCATTGGAAATCTATATTTAATACTTTTTTTTTTTTGAAGCAATCATAAAACAGAATGACACTGGGAAAAAAAAAGAGCCCTAAACATTTTGATATGAAAATTTCTTTCCAGATTGTAGATTGTTTTAATTTCAATGATACCACAGTCCATGAATTGTCCAGTAGTCTGGAGGGTCTTGACAATCATTAGCACTCATCTGTAGAAAACAAAAATACAAAATATTTGTTATACATGACCAGAGATAACAGATTAGAACAAAAAACAAAGCACATTCACTGGTGGCCCAAAGCACTAGAGAGACAAGAGATTCTGCTTGTTCAAATCAGTGATTCCAGGTATGTGAAGCTGTGATAGATTGTCTTGCTTAATGCCTGTTGACCACAGCTAAAGTTTTGAAACAGATCAAGAGAACACCAGAAGTATCCCAAACAGGCAACATGAACAGAAGACAAAAGGACAGACCCTGAGCTAATAGGAAGATTCATGCTAAACGACTGGAGTTAGCTTTACATTTATCCTATACTGTAGGTGGCATTTTTCATTATTTTTCTCATCACCAGATCCTTCCAAGAGGTGCAAAATCATCAAAATAATTAAAAAAAAAACATAAGCTCTTATATTGGAGAAGCACAAAACCATCTTTAGGAGTCCAGGAGTAGCCTTGTTGGTATATTGAAAAGGAAAAATACTAAGAGTAGATAAAAGAAAAAAGTGCTTATTTCAAATAAAATCATTAGAATTCTTAAGCTATTTTGAGTAAAGGGAAGAGAGGGAAGAGCAAAGACAATGTACATTCCTACCAAGGTTTCCAATCAAGATTCCTGCTAATACAGAAGAAATACCCTACACATTAACTATTGTGTAGAGTGGAATACATATTTCTGAGCACAAATAAAAGTTACTATATTCATACATCACAGAATAACATAGCCATGTTTTCCCTGATTACCCTGCTTAATAATTAGGTCTCTCTTTGGTAAACAATTTTCTTTATTTCATAACAACCTCCTCAGATTTTCTTTCCCCCAAATATTACCTTTTCTTATCAGCTCTGCCTTAGTTATGCCACTAATGCCTTTCATGTGATGCAGAAGCAAGAGTGGAGTGTAGAGAAACACAGAGACAGACCTGTAATCTCACTAATTGCCTTCTGCACACCACAAGCCAACAGCAGCAAAACTGGAGGCTGTGCAGGACTTTCTTACAAACACATGCTGGAAACAAACGAGACTGCTCCTGTCTAAACAAGCTTCGTGGAGTTGAAAGAGCTCTGTCATCCAGCCCAAAATGCAGGAAGTTAATGACCAGTGACTAATCATCCCCTGAAAAGCAGACTGACAGACCACAATCTTGCTCAGCTGAGGTGGGCACAAGAACACCACAGCCGTGCTCCTCATCCAATTTTTAAACCACAGTTCCCAAACAAAGAAAATGCCACTGCATTCTTCAGTTCAAGTTAACTGACACAACCAGGGCTTTGGCTCAGACCCAGGACTTGTGCTGTTTCTTATCTGAAATAGTATTCTGGGATCAGAAGGAAAGCTAAAGAGTCAAACTGTGGTCAGAAAGCCAACATTTTAAATCTCTCCCAAGACCAGACGGAGTACTCCAAGTAACTCAGAACTGCTGAGTGACAGAGCACTGAAAGTCAACAGCTTGTTTCCAACAAGTAAAAGCCTCTTCAAGCTGCACAGCACTGAAACACAGTGGACTGAAGAGGTGAATAAAGATCTGGGATCATTTTACCTTTAGGTCTACCAGGAATTAGCTCTCCCTTATCACGGTGCTAACCCAGCTAGCAGTTTCTTCTACATATTTCCCAGTGTTGGTGTTGCACTGCAGGCCTGCAGCACAGTGTGCCCATTACCACCTGTAATACATTAGGTCACACACTGCACTCGTTGGACAGCTTCATTCACCCTCCTCTCTACTTCTGACCATGGTAATTTTCCAATTTCCTTTTAAATCAATATTGTAAAATGGGAAAATACCAGCAAGTGTATAGTAAGAGAGATCACAGCAGGGTCTAGTATCCATTTCTTCATTTTTCCCATTCTATCCAGAACAGGAACCAAATTGCATACACACTTGCATCAGATTTCCTCTATTTCACAAGGGAAAAACCCACAAAAGTTATGCTCTATTTACAATTTCCAAGATGCAGAAGTTGCAATCATAAACTTCTATCTTCATAACTTCTTGAATTAAAGATGTGTCCAACTCCACAAAAAAGGAGGGCAAGCCCCTTTATTTGCCCTTCCACAGCTCCTACTTCCATTTAACAAAATTCACACTGATTTCTGAACAGAAAATTTAAGTTGAACCTTACCACAACATTTTTCTAAAACAGTACTTTACAGCTTAATAGTGCAGAACACACTCAGTATTAAAGCACAAGAGCTGAGCACAGTTACATACAGATTAAAGCACAGGATGAGCTGAGAGAGGTACATTCACAAGTTTTTGGTATGATGAATCGTGTCCACTACATTTTCGAGAAGAGGCTTTGCAGGACTTCAAATACCTGAAACACTTTTTTCCACACACAAATATATAAATAGGTAGGAATTAAGATGCATACCTATCAAGAACACATTATGTAGCACAGTACTCAGCCTATAATCAAGTTCCTTTACACAAGATGCATCAACTCATAAGTGCTTGTGCAACATACTGTAACAAGGCAGTTTTTAACTTAAACAATATAACACACTTGCAGTTTGCTTCACCCAGCTATCATTTTTCCTTTTGACATCACATCAACAGTTTTAAACTAACACAGCAATCACATCTAAATACACTGAAGATGCAGAATAATCTATTTGCATATATTCAAAACTGAATTTAGGAACCCCCCATGTTAACGTACAATCTGAACAAAAAAGGAAGTACTTAGGGAGATTTCAACTCTACTCCTATTTTTCCTATGACTCAGGGAGGTGAAACTGGAAATGTTGTTTCATATGATTTTAACTTCAGTTTTCTGATCCCCCTCAAAAAAAAAAAAGTCAGCAAACAAACAAAAACCTACTGGCCACTCCTTGGTCTCAGCTAGATACAGCTAAGTTTTTGTATTAGTATCTCCCCCACACATTTATCACAAGCATATCCCATTCTCCACATAAGTTTTTGACAGCAAGTTTTGCTGTTACTACTTTTATACAGTATTTACAGCAGGGCAGGGTTCATTTTTTTGTTTCCATCCCCCAAATACAGAAATGCTTAAAAAGACAGCTACCATAACAGCTTTATAAAGTGCCTCCTTTTTCCAGATAGAATCTGTATTTGATGAGTTATCATAAAAACTTTGGAGCCAATGTTCTAAAGCTAAACCTCAAGACACAGTTGAAGTACTAATCTGTTTTCTTCAGGCAGACAAAGCATGCGAGTCTGCTTACACAGTCTGGTAAAAGTCCAGGGTTAAGTTGAGGACTAACAGAACATGTGACAAGCAATTAAGGCTTAGTGTACTGCATGTCCCACATTAACTATTACATTTGAAGCACACATACCACAAGCCCATCCTGTTTGGTGGTACCCTGGAGTACAGAAAAAACTGCAAAAGTTGCACCAAGATCAGCCAGTACCCTTTTTAAAATACAGGTATGCAAGCAAGATTAAATACTCAATGGGCTTTATTAATTCTCTTTTCAAAGATTTATTGTCTAAGGCTCCTTTTGTCCAGATAAAAGAGTACAAAACAAATCTCACCTTGCATACAGTCACTGGCCAATGGTGAGCAAGATACAGCTTCTTCCAGGTGTGATTATGGCTATCACTGTAGAAAGAAGAACAAAACTATTTTTTCCTCAAGTATTTTAAGAACACTATCTCCAGCCAGCAGCACAATACCAGCAATGTACAGAGGTTACACACTGACTTCAGTGCTGTATAGTTTCTACTGCAATATTTAAGAACTCCAAACACTGTAGGATCAAACAGTAACAAATTACATAGAAACAACACATTTAGAAACCTCACTATTAAACACATCTGCATACTAGCTCCATATGCTTCCCACTTATTTAGATATAGAGGATACACTTGGCTTTACATTTAGGAAAGTATCTACTGGCAAGCTTCTACAACCCCACCAAAAAAGAGATACATACTTAGGACATTATTAATCTTGTAATTCTGATTGATCACAGAATGGCCAGGGTTGGAAGGGACCTCAAGGATCATGAATCTCCAACCCCCCTGCCACGTGCAGGGCCACCAACCTTCCCACCTAATGCTAGACCAGACTGCCCAGGGCTCCATCCAGTCTGGCCTTGAAAACCTCCAGGGACGGGGCATCCACAACCTCTCTGGGCAGCCTGTTCCAGCACCTCGCCACTCTCTCTGTAAAGAATTTCCCCCTGATGTCCAACCTAAATCTCCCTTCCATCAACTTAAAACCATTTCTCCTCGTCCTGCAGTTATCAACCCTTTCAAAGAGTTGCTTCCCCTCCTGTTTGTAGGCTCCCCTTCGGTACTGAAAGGCTGCAATGAGGTCACCCTGCAGCCTTCTTTTCTCCAAGCTGAACAAGCCCAGCTCCTTCAGCCTGTCCTCATAGGGGAGGTGCTCCAGTCCCCTGGATGAGTACATTAACTAAAAAGAAAGCATACAGCCTTCTTGGAAGTATCGGTATTCCCCTGAAAAACAAACTACAGATAACCACAAACACCACAGTTGATGCTGCAAGAGATGTAATTTCACCCAAGTATCACCATGTTGTCAGACAACATAAAACTTAGAACTAAAAAAATTAGGAACTATGAAAAGTAATAGAAAGTAAGCATTTCTGAGGTTTATCATTTTACACATAAACACTACATTTTTAAGTGCTTAACTATATAATTTCAAAACATTTTAAAAGTTAACAAGTTGTGACACTACTACTACTTCCCTACCTAGGGAAGATCTACAGAAGGAATACCTTATCTTTTACAAAAACACTTCTGTCTCAAAGTTTCTTGATAAAGAGATACATAATTCAGAGAGACTTAAGTACTGTCTGAATCCTATAGAGAAAAAAGTTTACAAGTTTTGTTTAAAAAATGATGGAAGGGTAAATCATGTGTTAGACACTTTTACAGAAGATTCTTTGTTTTTCCAGTAAATCTAAATAGACACCCTGACTAAACACCTCTTTCTTCAGACATTACAAGATATGAAAGCGATAAAGCAACTACACTACATAATAAAATCTCAAGTGGAAAAAAAAAAAAAAAAAAAAACAACACCACAATTTGCACAAACTGATAGCATTGCATGCAGAACTGCCAAAATAAGTTGTTAGTCCCTGGAAGATAACATTTGTATCTCCTTTGCATGCTAAGGGTGCTGTAGAAATCGCTTTCTCATGGAACTTTTTCTCAACGTGAAGTAGAGATGCTCTCACATTACATCACTTGCCAGTTTTTTCCTCTGGTTTTGCTAGTTCATAACAGCCAAATTTTCTCTTATGCATTCACATGCATGTGTGGTTCTACATAATTTATCTAAATAGCTCCAGAACAAATCAGACATGCAACACTGAAAGCTATTAATACTTCTAGCTAGTCTTCACTACTGCTGGGGAAACCTGAATAAAACAATTTCCTAACACTGTGGAGTCTTGATTTCCCCGCACAAAATGAAAAAAAAATAAGTCCTTACTTAGAAAAATAAATGTTATCTCCCACCTGTATTTATAATAACTGAACTTCTAAGATGAAACATAGCAAAGAGTTCTCACAAAACACATTTTGGCTAATGACAGACAAGAACAATGATTTAGGTTATTTAAGCAGTAACTTTTTGAGTCACTTGTTTTAAATCACAGCTTACCTTTGAGGGAATTTATCTGAAGTACACCAACAACATGATGCCATGAAAAAACAACCCAAAATCCAATAGTGCAGCTTAGCAAGCTTCATCTTGCTAATCAAATAGCTATAAAAGAAAAAAAGTGTTAAAAGAAGAAATTTGTTACTTTTCTATCATTCTACATCACAAGCATAGAAACAGAAAAACACAAGTACCCCAGGAACAGTACACAACATGAATTATATGCTATAGACTTACAACCACTATTAAGTGTAAGGTCTCTTTCAAGGCTGTGCTATATTTCCCAGCTTATATGATGATATCCATATAAAAATATTTTTATTTTTTAAACTTGTACACGGTCTAAACAGAGCCACTCTTCAGTTAACAGAGATGCTTATGGCCTCTCTACCAGCATATCATCAACTTGCATGCTCAGAGTAATTCATTAAAGAAACTCTGAAGCTAACATCAAATACTCATATTGGATTACCCAAGGCTGACGTTAGAAAGCCAAGAAAATGAAGTATGATGCTTAAGAATGCAATTCTCTGTAAATAAAGATAAGCTACTTTAAAGCTGTAATAAGACAATAATAACAGAGGAGCAAAGTCCTTGGGTACAACAAATAAGAACAAGCCCAAATGCAGCAGCTATGGATAGAGAAACAAAGGAAAAGAACTGCTTACTTTTAAAAGGTCTCAGGTAAGCAGAGAACTCCAACAAGAGATGCCCTCACCTCCACTGCCAACCCTTAAATGAGGTCTGGGAAGGGGTAAATTATGGCTCCACCCCTTCTGGTCACTCAGGTACATTGCATGCAACTGAGCTCCCCTGGGTTGGCCCTGCCTTCTCACCAGGTGCTCAATCACTGCTTCAGGCCGTAACTTAGCATTTTCACTACAGCTACTAAACTGAAGTTAAAGAAAATTGCTGCTTAAAAACAAATTGGTGCCTGTTCTTGTTATAAACCTTTAAGAGCCTCTACAAAAATATGCACCTGCCTGGTTTACTTACTGCACTGTAAACCCTAACAATCGGGGGGGGGAAAAAAAACAAATTTCACCAACAGGTGACTTTAACATTGCACAGGTCAAAAAACTCAAATGCCTCCTGCACAGACATTTCTTAGGTACCGAAAATAGAAGCACAGACATGTATTTACATGCAATTATTAACACTTCATTGAACCTTCTTTCAACTTCCTCATTTTCACAGCCGTACTAGTTGTATGAAAATTAGATATTCACTGTGTAGCCTGTGACCCCCTTCCAAGATCTCTCACTATATGAGTGATACCCCTTTTTCTATGATGACTTTTAAATTACTCCTCTATTAAAATGGTCAACCCATACAGACATCCAATTTGGCTATAACAAATGACTTCAGGACATTCTAATCCATAGCTCTTTATAAGAAAGAGGCCACTTCTCCACTGTTACCCAGGGGCTCTGGACCAGGTTATGAACCCAGTATTTGCACTCCTGCAAACATCTGTGGCAGAGCTCACCCATGATTTCATCTACTGCTATTTTCAGCTGATAACCAAGCAAGCAGGACTTCATCTATCTGCATGACAAACGGTTCCTCAAGTTAAAACATTGAGAGATACAAGATTTCTTCACAAAAGACTCAGCTTTGCCTTCAGAAACAGTGGAAAGAGTGTTTGTCAGCCAACAGAAAGTGACAATAATGTCACATGCTGTCATCAGAGAGGCTAAACTGTGGAAAAGTCTATTCTAAGTAGATTGCAAAAGAAATAAACTAGCAAGCATTATGGCATCTATTTTGCAAACCGGTATGACTTAAGAAGATGGGCACAAAAAAATGGAATTTTTACAGACTTAGGTGCAAAAAAAGCATAAAAGTCATAATCTCCTTTTCTCGTTTGACCCCTACAATTGGTCAAATAATGACCAGAGGGGGGCTTCAAAAATGCTATTATCAGATCATCTGAATGCTCTGGTTTCTTTTGCACACTGCCCTGCCCCCTGAAACAGGAACATAGGGACAAAAGGGACAGCCCCTATGCCCCTACATATAGAAAAGATATTTTTTCACTGATAAGCAATACACAACCTGAGGTTTTAACTTGGAAGACCGCAGCAGAAACTGGGAAGAAAACAATGCAGTTACGATGACAGATCAATTTATTCTAGTTCATCTCTTAGCCTGTTGAGAGTGGGAGGTGAAAAGTGTGTCAGCCTCAGCCAAAGTATGCAGCCTGAAGAAATACACATCCAAACTATAACTGTAATAACAATTGAGGTTCACATTTTAATGAAAGTTTGCTTTTGTTTACTAAATTACACTGGATTATTAATTCCACATGTAAAATAAAAGATTAACAAATATTATGCTAATTATACAAACTTATTGGAGGGAATAGAGAGAGAGAGATTTTGTATTATGAAAGTTAATTATACAAATTCATAATATTCTAAAGGATTGTAATTAAGGTAACCTACAGTTTCAAAATTAAACGTGTTCAGATGCATGAAGTCACTATTTGAAACTTCAGTCTATTGACTCATTTTCCACACAGATAAAACTACAAGTAATACAAATAGCTTCAGGATAATTCCTAGTTTACTAGGTTTGGATACCAACACAGAGTGCATGCTAATAACTAAGTCAGGATGAGCCTACTTCCAGTTATATGTGCACTGTCCAACACTAATAACAAAATTACCTGCACACAGTTATCAAGGGCTGGGGGAGAATCTGGCTTTGTAATTGTAGTGGAAATGCTAAATCAGGGATTCAAACTGATTGAGCACCTGGTAGGAAGGCAGGGCCAACCCAGGGGAGCACAGGTGCATGCAATGTACCTGAGTGACCAGAAGGTGTGGAGTCAGGATCCACCCCTTCCCAGACCCCATTTAAGGCTTGGCAGGGAAGGGGAAAGATATTTGCCTATCTGAGGCCTCATGAGGGTAAGAAAACTTCTTTCTGTTATTTTTTTTTTTGTGCCTATGGCTACTGTGCTATCCTTACTTGCTAAAGTTTAGAACCTTGCTATTCTGTTGTTATTACTATGCTTTCTATTGTATTAGGATTCTTTAATGCTTCTATTGTTGTTTAAGTTCTAATACAGTGTGTTGCAGGTACTAGGTATGCTTCTTTTAGTTAATAGCTACTAATTACCTTTATTTTAGTCTCTTACTTTCTTCTTTAGTTTCTAATAACTAGCTTGTCTAACAAAGCTCATGTGAAAGCTTCCTGGTTTATGCTTTAGGTCAGCTATATAGACTCAGAAGAAGCAACAGAAATCACTTTAAGTATTTGTTGGCAAACTTGCATTGTTAACAACAAAGCTTACACCTAGCTTAGTGTGGGCAGTAGTAGCTGGAAAACAGAGCACCTTCCTGGCACCCACAAGCAGTGAAAGGAACATCCAGGCTCAATATAACTTCAAACAAGGGAATGAGCACTATCCTACTGCAACAAGTCAGGCAACCCAGTTACTAAGCTGGGAGTCAGAAGAATTAATTTCATTTCTAGTAATGTTCCTGGTTCAGGCAAGGTTTATGTCCCAGCATTCTCCTGGCTAACTATTCCTTCATATGCAACACTTACAGCCACTATCACAGCAGGCCTCTCCTCCTGCCTCTCACATGACCTAGCCTAAGGCAGTGCTGGCACAGGGCATGTACAGGAGTAGCTCTGCTCTGTTATCCACCGACCAACTTCCTGGGGAAGTCCCAAGCAAGGCAGCGTTGTGCCTTCCTCATACAGTAACCAATACTCTTTTAGTGCTGTGCTGAACGATTTAACTCCTTGGCTGCTCCTGAGGAACAGCCATCACCCTTCATTACAGATGCAGTTCATAGAAAATTAGCATTGTAGAGATCTCATGAATGACTGCAGGCAACAGGAGGATACCAAAATTGATGCCCAAGTGCTATCTACACAGTTTTTCCAAATCTGGGTAATATTACTAGTTCTTTAGCAGCTCTTTAACTCACTCCATAGGGAGCCAAAGGCATAAAACGCGGGACCTGGCCCAAAGTGAGCCTTCACCGACTCCGGTCCGGCTCTTTGCAAGCCAGTCACGCAGGTTAAAGAGGGGAAAAAGCCCACGCAGGATACCTCGTGCCGGCCCTTCTCCCGAGACGCGGCTATGCGGCGCACGCAGGACGCTGCCACCGCTCCCTTACCTGCTGTTCTGCCGGGGCCGCCTGAGCCTCTCCGCAGCGTGGGTCGCACGGCCCGCAGCAGGATGGGGCAGAGAATAGGGGCGCAGCGCCTGCCTCCCTACTGCGGCTCGTACTTCCGCCCTTCGACACAGCTGAGAGCTGGGCTGTCCAGTGGGGAGGAGCCTTCGGGAGCCTGCTGAGGCCTCTTTGTTTCTTGTTAGTCTGAGCTTGCAGCAAGCTGTCGATTAAAGTGAGTGTAGTGAAGGAGCGGTGGCGCACGGGTTTGTGTATGCTTCCTCAAAATAATGGGGGAAGTTTGAAACGATAGCGTTCTTGTTTGGAAACAACAGGCAGCTTTTGAAAAAGAGAGAATGCAAAGGAGTGAATCACGAGTATCCCAGACCACGCTTGGCTCTCATTTTCTCAGTGCTGTGACAAACTATAAAATTGACTCCACACCTGCCTGTCTGCTGATATGTGAATCACAAATGCCAAGTGGTATTAATTACTATCGTGTGCTTCTGAACTATGGGGGAGTTATTGCAACCACCCTCCATAAAAGCACTTGAGAAACGTGTGGGCAGATCTACTTCCACAGACAAAGCAGTGTTTGTTTTGAACAAGTTAATTACACTCTTGGCCATTACAATCTTCATTCAAAGTTATGTTATTACTCACTGATAATATGTTCTAGTCATGTTTATGCTTTCACTCAGCAAGAAGGAGGATAAGGCAAAACTAATCTTCACCCTTTCTATTGCAATACAGAAATGTCATGTTGAACGGAACAAGCGATCCATCTGCTGCTGTTTTCAGAAACAACAGTCCAATGTATCAAAAGTTTCAGGAATTTTGTTAAGACTTAAAATTATTGCAGTTCTCCAGAGCCTTGCATTCGTCATTGCTTCTCCTGTTGTTGCTGAGGGCATCACCCCTCCATCTGGCACAGACATCTTTATTGCTGCTTATAAGAAGTCAGTAGGGATGGATGTGAGATTATTCTCTATTTCTCAAATGCTATCTTCACAGAGTAAGGTTGGAGAGAGCAGTTTGTACTGCCTGTACAACACAGCTTGCAAAATGCTGTGCTCCACCATTATTTTTTTTGAGGTATTATAAAGATTTACTCTGAGGCTCCCAAATTAATTCTTTGTACTTTGTGGAAACTTAGCCCGAAGGCTAGTTTAAAGATTTAAAGAGGCATTCACAGTTCATCTAAGATTTTGTAGGCTCATAAATGTAGGAAATATCCAAATAATTTTCTAGGACAGTATCTCTGATAAAGCCTCCTACAAGCAGGAGAGCACACAGAAAACAGAGTTACATCTTTTATTCCCTATTCCCCGACGCTTATCTCTTACTCCCCTGGTTCCTCATTGGCTGAGTACTTCAGGTTCACAATCTTCTCAACGCTTCACTAAACATGGAAACACTGGACAAACATAAATTTTTGCTGCATAAGTGTAAATCTGTAGTTAATTAACTTATTCCACATCTGATCGTTATTTTGCAGATATCTGCTTGTCCTTCTTTCTACAAAGATAAACTTGGGAGAGAGGCAGGGGAGTATCCTGGTGTCTGCCTTCACACCCCAACCTTCTCACGGACTGAGACAGTTCAGACTTGTGTAGAGGCCCTAACTTCTTTGATGTTTGCTAAATCTGTCTGTCTTTTGCTGAGAGTTTCTTATGCTAAGAGAACAGCTCTACAATATGTTTTCTAATCCTTAGCACTCTATACTCGCATTGTTTAGAACGTTTAACAACTATTACAGCTTTGCAAGAAATAATTAATCACGTAATTCAGTAATAATGCTTCTAAAACATGCCGCTAACATATACAGTATTTTACTTCTTAGATCAACTATTTCTAAGGATAAGTTACAAAATACAAATGCATTATGTTCTACTTCTTCAAACCAATTGCTACGTTTTAATATCAAATGCAGAAACAACATTCCATTCCCACATAAATAACTAGGATGATGAAGCTATGTTTTTACGTCCTTAAATCATTCTTCTTCCATCAGAAGAGGGGTGGCCAGTAGGGACAGGGAGGTGATTGTCCCCCTCTACTTTTGTGAGGCCCCATCTGGAGTATTGTGTCCAGGTCTGGGGCTCCCAATATAAGAAAGACAGGGAGCTGTTGGAGAGGGTCCAGAGGAGAGCCACAAACATAATCAGGGGACTGGAGCACCTCCCCTACAAAGACCAGCTGAGGGAGCTGAGCTTGTTCAGCCTGGAGAAAAGAAGTCTGTGGGGTGACCCATTGCAGCCTTTCAGTACATTAAAGGAACCCATAAACAGGAGGGAAGTCAACCCTTTAAAAGGGTAGATAACTGCAGGACAAGGTGAAATAGTTTTACGTAGAGGGAGGGAAGATTTAGGTTGGACGTCAGGGGGAAGTTCTTTACAGAGAGAATGGTGAGGTACTGGCACAGGCTGCTCAGAGATGTTGAGGATGCCTTGTCCCTGGAAGTGTTCAAGGCCAGGTTAGATGGGGCCCTGGGCAGCCTGGTCTAGTATTAAATGGGGAGGTTGGTGGCCCTGCATGTGGCAGGGGGGTTGGAGATTCATGATCCTTGAGGTCCCTTCCAACCCGGGCCATTCTGTGATCATTCTATTAAATGCACTACTTTGCAAGCTATCATTTAAAAAGAATATTTTTGATAAATATGAGAAAGGCAAGCAATGGGGACCTATTTTAGATAATATCACCCTAAGACTTTCTATTTAATATTTATCTGCATACTGAAAATCAGAACACTTAATAAGTAAAAAAAACTACAATGTTCCCTGGGAAACTACTTCTGGAGACTTTGGGGTCCATCAGTGCTGGTCACTATTCAACTACTTCCTCTTAAGAGATCAAAAACAGACAACTTCAAAATGTCAAGCAGGATGGGCAGAAGGCTGGCTTGCCTCAGAAGGAATCTTCTTCTAGAGCTTAGGTGAAGAAATGAAGTCTATGGCCACAGGAAGAAAGGGAGGACTACAGAGATGATCTTGGCCACTGCAGGGAGAGAATGGGTGCTCTCAATGAGAGTTGAGGCTGGCCAGTACTGTGGGAGACAACAAAAAGGGCTTTTTAAAATATGTTAACAATAACAGGAGGACCCAAGATAACATTGATCTGTTATTCCATGAAGATGGTTGCTTCACTCATGTCAACTTTCTGCTTTGCTAAGCAGAGGTATTTAGTGACACCTCTTCCTCTGTTTTCAATCCCAGTTATGGGGTTTGGTTCCTCCAGAGACTTCAAGCAGTATTAACTTTACTGAATCTTTTTAAACCTTGTATGGGAACTGTTGAGTCATGGCTGAGCACCTGGGGAAAGAGCCTGGTCAGCCTTGGGAGCACAGGTGAAGGCAGTTTAGCTGTGTGACTGAAAGGGGTGGAGCCTGGCTGCACCTCTCTTAGACCTCATTTAAGGGCTGACTGCCACTGGGGAGGGATCTCTTTCTGGAGATTCCTCCCTTGTGGAGTTTCCCTGTGAGTCTAGATCTTCAAAGATGGGTGAACACTTTTTCTTTGTAATGCCACTCCATTTGTGCTAGTCCCTTTGTAGCTACTCCTTTATTGCCCTTCCACTGCATTGACCTTTCTGATTGTTACAAATCTATATAGGGTTTCCCATGGAAAAACACTTTTTCTTCCTTCTGTGGTAACATACAAGTCACACTTACATTGCTGTATAAACAGCAAGCATAATTTTGGTCTGTCTCTTGTAATGCGGTCCTATAATTTCCATAATGGTGGACTTGAGAGTTACATAGATTTAAGATAGTAACATTTTCTTCAGAATGGCACTGTGAGACAGTTTGAGATGGTACATTGTGTGCTGGATAGGAACTTGGACAACTAAAAATGCTTTCCTGCCCTTTATGTGAAGAATACTTACTAAAGTAACATACTGAGTTTTGCAGAACACAAAAGGGATTATCTGTGGAATAGGTTGGAAATACTCTATGTGTATTGGAGGGCTGGAAGGCAGCGTTGCTGAAATACTGAAATGAATTTTACAAACAACAAATGTTCTGCTGATTAACTGTCTTCTAAGACAGTTTGCTTTGTGATCTCTATCAAGTTTTTTTTTTTTTTCCAAGAGGGTTTTGTCAGGACAGTGAAACAGTAGGCTGGTGCCTAAGTTGCATTTGTCTCACAGAGGTGGAACCAGAGTCATTCATTGCTTAGCTCTGGCAATGTATAGTTCTGTATGATATGATGATTGCTCACCCAATTGTTCAACCATCTATTTAGAAAGTCTTTATACTAATGGTGTATTTATCCTCTTTGCTACTAATTCCTTCCATTCATTCAGAGTTTGAAATACAGGGGGAAATGGCTTTAAAGCTTTAAAGAGGGTAGATTTAGGCTACATATTAGGAAGAAATTCATTACTATGAGGGTGGTGAGACTGGAACAGGTTGCCAGAAAGGTGGTGAATGCCCCCTCCCTGGAAGCATTCAAGGCCAGGCTGGATGGGGCTTTGAGCAACCTGGTCTACAGGCAGGTATCCCTTTCTATAGCATGCTATTGGAACTGGATGATCTTAGAAGTTCCTTCCAACCCAAACCATTCTGTAATTTTATGAACTGTTAAGCTTGTGATATTTAGGCCAGGACAGTTAGTCCAAAGCAGTGAGAATAGCAGGGTTTAATGTGACGCCACAAAGATATACTCAGTACTATGAGAGGGAGAAAATCTGTGAGGTTGCAGAAAACACTTTCCTAAAGCCAGTGCAAGTAAGTGAACAGACTTTTAACTCCAGGTTTTGCTGGTCAGCTTGGAAAGGTAAGTAGTATTTATCAACTATACAGCTGACAGAAAACGCGTTTCCTCTGAACAACTGACAAGAATTGACTATTTTTTAGTGCTGTGACAGTGTTCAAGTCTATTGTAGCTGTGCTTCCATTTGCTGGCCCTTTTTCAAGGCTTGTATGGCTGACAGAAGAACTTCACCTTTAGTTATTTTTGTTTCTATTAGCTATTAACAAATCTTATTCTATTAACAAATTCTACCTATTTGTTTTGTCTCTAGTTATTTTTGTCTCCATCCTTCCCTTCCCATTGCTAGGCAGAAACTCATTTGCCAGCCTAGATTCTAAGGGTACTGATCCCTTTGTGCAGTACTCCCTGTATTGAGATGCCTTCATGGTTTTGCTGAACCAAGGAAACTTTCATTATGCCTTTTGGCAGAGGCTCAGGGCAGCATGGCTTTTTTTGGCCATAGCATATGAAAAGTTGGTGTGGGCTATTGAAATTAACTTAACTATATTTTATAAATGTTTTTTTAAAATTGTGCTTGATTATTAAGACTGAAGCCTAGTGATCCATAATCTTGTTTCAAGCCTGTCTGACACTGAAGCTTATAGTCTGTTTTGCTACTAAGTCAAATATGATTTTTTTTATTTCCAAAGTAAAACTATTCAAAAAAAAAAACATTGTTTTCCATATTTGTTGATTCCACATTTCTAAATAGTGTGCAACTTTTGTCTTAGAAATAAATACATAAATTCAAGACTTTATCAGAAGTTACCCAAGATACTTAGCAGAGAATAAATGATGTGTTTTTGCCAATATATTAGTATGAATAATTTAGTATAGTACAGTTACTATAAGTAGGTTTTTCTAAGATATTTAAAGATGGAAGTATTCTTAGGTAAGATTAATTCTTTGTACACTTCATTATTTCTGTTTGTTTTTTTTCTTGTGATAAATGGTGTTTAGGAAATGAGAACAAACAAAAGTGTTGTGATTTTAAGAAGTTCTGAAATCTTTCCCATTTTACATTAACAATATTTTTAAATCCTGTATTTTTGCAGCACCATCAGCAACACCTACAACCAGAAAAACTCAGTTATTAAAAAAGTGTACATGGGTCACTCCAAAAGTAATGCCTCACTTATTTACTCTTGTAACAGATAAGGAAGGCACAATAATACCATTTGGTAAAGCAAATATTCAACTACAAAACACTATTCTTCAGTATACTCACCACAATTAGCCAGTTTGTGTAGACTAACTGGTCAAGATGCTCTTCATTTTGTGGTGTGACAGCAGTGGCCAGTGATCTGGAATGTGGCTCATCTTTCATGCTGTGGTTGCCACTGCTGAAATGCTCCACTCATCACTTCGGTGTGCTCACATCTGCTGTTCGGTCTCCATAAATGTTCAGAAAGCATCAGTGAATGTCAATGGGTGCATTTTTTTTCTGCAAGGAAGAACTCAGTTCCACACCTTTGCTTCATATGCACATCCAGTCAGACATCACTTTGTCAGACTGCCCCTCTGCTGCCATGTGTTGCACAGCAACAACATGTAATGGAATGTTGGTGGGAATGTTCAGCCTTGACTCACCTGCCTCTGCTATCATGGGCTAACATAATGAAATAGGAGGCATGAGGAGTGCTCTGAAAGTAATATTTCTTCAGTTAGTTTATTTTGTGCTATCACAAAGTATACAGTACAATCAGATGAATATTTTGAGAGTTTTTTTTTTTTTTTTTTTGCAAACAGAATAGTTCTGAGCACATTTTAGATCTCTCAGTTAGGTTTGGAGTTCTAACAGAAGAATGAAATGGTAGATGTAATAGCAGGCAGTATGTTTCTGTGCTTACATCTTGCTTCTGATGGGGCTTTTGGGAAGTTGAAACTAAACTACTGTTCTCTGCTTAAGAATAAAAATGAAAACGCAGTGCTGTGGATTTACTTGAATTCAACTTTGTGCTGATGTGAAAGACGGTCAGTGCTTCCAAACTGCAGGACTCCTAGCAGCGCTTCTGTCCTCCTTGGCGGAGCTCGGTATTTCATAGGGGATTGCTACACGATTAGTGCCACCTGCTGCACGTCCTCTGGAATTGGATCAGCTTCCCACAACGCCTTACTACATCCTCTGGGTAGTCGTAGCTTCCGAAATTATTAAGTTTCTGAGATCTTTTAAAGAGGAAAAGATTAAGAAGTCCGTCCTGGAATAAATAGATAAATTCCAAAATCAACTCTTGCGGCTGCGTGTTATGCATCGCATCTTACAAGGATAATAACGTGGTGCTAGAATCTTCCCCAGCCGCCCTATGCCCCTAAAGCACCGGTAATTAGATGATCAAATTATGATTCAGTGAGCGCTCTAGACCGCTTCCGAGCCGAGCTTCGTGCAGGTTTGCGAAGCCCTCCCCTCGGCAGCTGCGCTTTCACCCCTGCCAAAGCGGGTTCAGCTCTGCAAAACGCGTGTGAGGGGAATCTGCTCGCTCCGGACGCGAGGCAGCTGAAGGCACGGCCGGGCTGCAGCGGGAAGGGCGGCTCGCGTTCCCTCACAGCCCGCCCTCCTTGCGGGTGCTGAGGGGCTGCGTACGGACACGGCCCGCCCCGCGGCGCTGAACGGTCACCGCCGCTTTGAACTTCCCGCGCGCCGCTCCCGGCGGAGACGCGCTGCGCGTTCGCCGCCGCAGTTTCCAAGGCGCTGCGGCCATAGAGGAGCCGGGCGGCCGGAGCTCCGCTGCATCTCTCCGGGACCGCTGTCGGGGGTGGCAGCCGTTCCGCTTCTCCCCGTGCCCTCGGACCCGCCGCTGGGTGAGTGTCTCCCGCGGCGGCGGCGAATCTGCCGGGCCCGTCCCGCCGCTAGCGCGGTTTGGGCGGTTGTCAGGGAGAATCAAGATGGCGGCGGCGGCGGCGGAGGAGGACACGGAGCTGCGGGACCTGCTGGTGCAGACGTTGGAGAGCAGCGGGGTGCTCAATAAAATCAAGGTGCGAGCGGAAGGCCTCTCCTCAGTGTGCAGCGTTCTCATGGCGGTGCGTGGGGTGCGCTGCGGGTGCCGCGGCTGCCGCTATGGCGCGGGGGTGCTCGGCCGGCCGCGTCCCCTCCAGCCGGCACAGGCCCGCGCCGGCTGTCACAGCCTGGCGGCGGCGCCCGCCTTCCCGACGCTGCCCCCCAGTCTGCCCGGGTTGGGGCTGTCCGAGGAACCGTGTTCAGCGCCCGCCTCTCGCGATGGAGCCGGTGCGTGCTCTCTGTGGGCCCGGCCGGCGAGCTGCTCGGCGGGGAGGCGGAGCGCGGCCCGGCGGCTGTGCCCTGTCTATCGTGCAGCGGTTATGTGGCCGCCGGAGCGCCCGCGCTTCTTTTCTGCTGGTGCCCAACCCGCCGAGCCGTGCTGGACGGAGTTCGCAGAATTTCTTTCCACTTCAACGCGAAAAGACCTCACTGGTTATCCCAAGCTGCAGTCCTTGAGGCTCAATGTTTATACATAGGTGCGTGGGGTGGTGGAGCTGTGTTTTGGGGGTTGGCTGAACCTAAGAAGGGTCTGGATATGCTGTCTGCCTACTAATGCCGCGTTAAAAAACGAGTGTTGCAATGGAGTGTAATCGGTTTCCAGGCTTTTAGCCTGGACTTGTGTCAGCAAGGATATGAAAGCATGCTGTGTGGATTCACACTCAAAGCTTCCAGCAATAACTGTCACATACAACAGAGAGCCATGCAGGTATCAAAGCATGAGAACTGTTGAATCTCCTTGTAAGCTCGAGGAGAAAAGAAGCTTGGATTTCAAATTAAGGGTGTGGCATTTATCCAGAGAATTCTACTTTGAGCATTTCAACAAGTGGGCAATCATTATTGGTATTCTGGGAATATATAAACAGCTGAAATAGTTGATGGAAGTGAAAATATCCTTGTGTGTGTACTTAAAAGCCCAGTGAGTATTGGCTACATTTGATCCTTTTCAACAAAACAACATTATTATAAATGTATTGCACTTGCATTTTAAATGCATAATCCTTATTTAAATTCCATAGGGAGATGAAGGGTTCAAGCTCGTGCAACTGTGTTTTGAGTAGGGTGACTTTCTTTTAACTAGGTATCAGAGTAGGCCTTCTAGTCCACCTGTTAACTTCTTACGTAGTATCAATAAGTAGAAGTATAGTGACAGTAAAATCATAGTAACTTCAAGAGGAATAAAAGCACAAGTGCATTAGAACACTAAAGCTCACCTGCTTGCTATGGTCTAATTCCTGCCTTGTGTAGCATGGAAGCTTTTGAACTATTGTTAACAGTTTTGAGTTTTATGTCAATTTTTTTATTGTAGTCTTCATTATTATATAATGCTGGAAGTAGTAGTATCTAACATGATATATGTTATCCTTAAAATAGCAAACCACTTACAGAAATGGGAACTTTCTGATATTGGGAGTCACTGTTTAATAATTGATATGCTTATGATTAGTGCTGTTCAGTGTAGTACGTCATTATTTTGTTTTCCTTGGTTGTAAACCTTAACTGATGTGCTGGGTTGTTAGCTATGAGTTGATTGATAATGTTAATGACTTACAGAAGTTGTTGTTGTACGTGACAAATAGCCTTCCAGAAGAACTCATGATGAATGAATGTCCTTAAGTGGTTAGCTCTTAGTTCAGGTTATATCATGCATTAAATAATAACAATAAAAGTGTAAATACCAAAACCATTGTCTTTTTGTTAAACTAAATTAAGCATAGTTGCACTCTGTATTGCTGTCAGATGGTTGTTTATTTTATATTTGAAAATGAGTACTGACTGTTTTTCAAGATGGATGAAGTTAGAAGGCTTAGATAGCTATATTTGAGATTTACTGAAGTGGATACATTGAACAGAAAATTACTTCACCTAAATATAGCTGAATTAGTGTGAGGAATATAGTAGAGGTAAACAAAGCTCTGGGAGGATGGGAGTACTAACTGAATTATTTCAGTGGATAAAATGTATCAAGCTGCCGGCTAATACCTTTGCGAGCAAGCAGTGACTCAGTAATTCTTAGCAAGAAACTTTACCTTTATTTTCTCATGCTATATAATTTCATAGTGGATTATCATTGACAAATTTCTTATTTTCAGTTAACTTTGGGGTGTGCTAATAAAGGTGTAAATGATTTGGCTGGATGAGGAAATCAGTTACCTGTATGACAGCTCAAAAATCTGTTCAAGACTTGTCTGTTTGTCATAGGTTTTGGGCATCAGAGTATTGAATGAAGTCATATTGTGCAAACTAGGAAATAGCAAATATATTTGCCATTTACAGTTGAAAATTCCCCGTCCTTTCCCTCAGCTGCAGTATCTGTGTGTGTTTGTTACCTATATGGGAGTTATTAAGGATTGGAATGAAACTGATGGATAGAACTGCTGCCTGGTGAGTTCTGTAAACGAAATTTGGAATATTTGTGCTTTAGTAAAAATAATAACTGATGCTTTACATGTGAGGCATGTTGTATAAATACAGATGATCGTCTGTCTTGAAGAGGATGTGATCATTCTCATATAGAAGCTGCTATAAAATCATCAAATGGTTTTGGTTGGAAGGAACCTTTAAGATAATCTAGCCCCAGCCATGAGTAGGAACATCTTTCATTGGCTGTCATATAAGGAAGAACCACTGTGCTTTCATAGCATTGCTTTGTTATTTTGTTTGATTTGTATCTTTCCTTCTGGGGGGGAAAAAAAAAGTTTATGCTGCCTGAAATTTTACAGCATCCTTGGAACTTGCTGTTTCTATATATCTGAGGAATAAAAACATTACAGAAGTCATGTGACTAGTAATGCTTTGACCAGCTGTTCTTGCTAATTTGATTCACACCCTGCAGTGGTGCTAGCTGATAATGTGATGAGATAAAGTAAAAGTAGTATTAAAAAAAAAAAAAAGTGTTAACTGCTGATGTGTAGGTCAGTAAAATTATCATATTTGTTTTCTCATCTTTCATTTATTTTAGGGCAGAATGCTTTAAAGTAATTTTGGATTGTTAATGTCATGATCAATTTGCTGCTCACTACAGTGTAATCACCCTCTGTCCTTTTCAAGCAATTTATGTTAGAAAATCAACTCATTTTTTCAAATAAAGGAGAAACATTATTTTTTCTTACCTAACATCTCTTTCTTATTTTTAAGTTAAGAATTTTTTGTTTCCTCTATGGTATGGGTTCTCCATCTTTCTTTTTCCAGCATTCTTCATCTTTTTAATTATATTGCCAACAAGTTTAATGACTTAGCCAAAAAAGGCTGCTATGGTGGAGTGTTTTCTGCTTAAATGAATGAGGAATGAGCGTGAAAATTGCTGGTTCTGCTTAGGGATGGTAACTTTCTAGATGTGGAGTGACAGGACAGAGGTAATGAAGCTGCAGTCTCCAGTTTGGTACCAGCTTTGGATATGGGCTGATGCAGGATTTTAGCCTAGTGCTTATAGCCTGGGGTAGTCACTCGTGGTTAGACAACTTGATGCTGTGTTTGCTTGCTTACAAGCAAGTTACTTTGGTCACTATGCTTATGTGCTTCTATTTCATATAGTAAAATACTCTAGAGTCTTGCTGTGTACCTACGTGTTGGAATCCACAAGTGGGAGATATTTAAAAGCTTCAAATGGATGTTGGCAATCTGAGATGCAAGGGAGACCCACGGCATTCCTCAGTTCTGGACAATCTATTGCAGCTATTTCATCCAGTATTTGCTCTGCATAAGCTATTGTGGGTGGCTTTTACAAGTGCACTGGTTCAGATTAATTGTTGAGGTAGGTGTTTGCTGTCTTACTGTTTTTCAAAGAGTATTCCCAAATCAGATGAAAATTTTAGACAAGCCATCTAAAAAGGTATTTGTTTATTTGGGGAGCTCTCAAGATAGTAAGCAATGTCTTCTGTCTGGGAACTGCAGACCCTGAGAGATGTTTTCCTCTGTGATCCTTCAGGTACATGTGTAAGATTCACTGTTTGGGACAGGATTAACTTAGCTAGATTCTGAAGAGAAGAAAGTCCAATACAGGAAGGATGTTTTCCTGTGCCGCTGCTTTTACACTGCAACAGCAGTCAGTAAGAGGTGATGTCTGCTGAGTTGTTCATAGTAGGAAAAAAAAGGAAATTAACTTTGATTTTGAAACACTGACCCATGTATTTCCCAAGTGCTTACAGGCAGCAGTTGTCATATACAGTATTAGCCTTACTTTAGCTAAGGTCAGTGCCATTTAATTGCTTTGTCATTGATATGAGCTCTTGTTTACTAAAGGTTTGTAGAGATGTCTACTGAAACTTGGTGCATACAGGACTGAAAAGAAGCCTATAGCTTTAGTGGATTTCAGGATGATAGATTTGCAGTCACTGTAGATGTCAAGATCTGACTTACAGACCATAATCCTGGTACAGCTTACAGCATAACACCGTTTTATGGAAGGCTTCAAAAGGATCAGGGTGAGGAAGTTCAGTACTAAGCTTTGTTCTGCATTACTGCTACTTTGAATAAAATGTTTCTTGGGCAACAATGAAAAACAGGATAGCTGTCTAAGTCAGCACTGCATACAACTGGTAGACATCCTATTTTTTTTTTTTTTCTTATGAGAACTCTTCTTAGATTTTTTGCATGATTTTTTTTTTCTTTTAAAAAGGTATCCAATGATGGTTACTTTTTTTTTGCCTTGCTAATGAGAAAATCCAGCACTTCAAATTGTTTTTAATTTTAGATATACAAATTGGTCTTTGAAAATCTTTTTCTCCTTTGCTCTTGAGGAAAATGGCATGCAGAGTGGCAGTGTCATTTATGGTCACAGAGTTGCTTGGCACAGTTTATCTACTGACCACTTCAAAATGTTTTCCACTGTAATTAACTTAATCAGACTTTCTCAAATGTAATGCATGTTGTTCATTTAGTATGTTCAAGCCTGGAGTCAGGCTTTCTTTTCCTTGAGAATTTCTGTTGCTTTGTGTGATCTGACAAGAAGTCATGGGAATTTGTATAATGTAGCACAAACTTTGAAGACAGTATAATCGTAAGTTGTGTCTGTGTTTCCTGAAAGAATTGTAAATTAAGGGTAGGTGTTTCAAAGCTTCCTCAAAAAGTTGGATTTCTGGCTCTCAAGGGAAACAAATAGGTAGTTGGTGATGTATTTTAGAATCTTCTTGAGAATGAAGAATTTGGGAAGTTTTGTATCAAATCCCTTCTGCCCCATTGCTTCTCCAAAAGCTTTCTTGCCCTCAAATCACATTGCGTGTAATCCTAAATGTCTTAATTGTGTTGCTGTAGTTTACAGTTGATACCAAGTTCCTCGAGGAGAAATAAATAGATGTTAAGATACTTTCTGGCTCTCATTCTATTTGCATAGGTAAAACAGTGTTTGTAGAAATGCCATTTCTTTTTTTTTTTTTAATTTGGCAGGCAGAGTTGCGAGCAGCTGTATTTTTGGCATTAGAAGAACAAGAGAAAGTAGAGGTAAGAGAATATTAGGTGTTTCAGTTTTGACTTCCTGACAATTCTTCATGTATAATTAAAAAAAAAATAAATACTGTAATGCTTTATATTTGTGAAGTGTAACAAGAGAAAATTATGTATCACTGCATAAGACCTTAAAAAAACAAAACAAAAACACCCAAAAAGGCCTTCCTTCCAGTATTTAGAAATTCAAAGTGTTATGTAGCTTTTACTGTGAGACTGTAGCCTCAAAGGAAACTGTTTTTCACTGCTGCTTTTATGTTGCTCTGCTCCACTTGACTAGAGTAACTAAATATCTTTTCTGCCAAATACTACTTTTAAAAAGTCCGATTGAACTGCTGAGGATTTTATTATTAGTAAGGCATTATAGTGGTCTGTTTTGAGAAGTTTTTTTACTGCCAGCATTGCCTTGTTTCCTGTATCTGTTCATTCCCTAGACCTAGAGGAGAGCACATTAAGAGCTGTTTGTCCAGGCTCTCCATTTTGAAAATGAAGAATGGAAAGCTGTCCCTTTCCTCTGCTGGTAGTTGGTTGTGCTCTTTCTGGAAAAAGGCACAACTGCAATAGATGTTATTGTGACACTGGTAAGGATGGGAAGTATGAGTAATTATTCTATGGCATGAGACTCCATATGTCAGAAACATAAGTTTGCTGAGGAAGAAATAATGGAAGAGTGATACAGTGCCATTTCTTGTGGCAAGTTTCAGCATAGTGTGGAGTACCCCTAAAAAAAGCCCTCCTAGACTATCTGAAGAGCATTAGGGCTTAAGAGAGAGACTTGCTGCAATTCATCTCAGCTCATTCAAAACCTTTAAAATTATCATGACATTTTAATTTTACGCTCCAGACTGAAAGTGTATTAATACTTATCTCTATTCTGAATTCCTAAATATTAGGGAAGTTGTTTTGGTTTGGTTGTTTAAAATATTGGTGAGGAGCTTTCATGTGTATGTTAAATATCACTGTTCATAAGTGCTACTTCTAACAGACCCTTTCCTTAAATTTAGTTAGGTTCCTATCCAGGGTGTTTTCATCTATTAACAATGACATTTAGAATTTAATTTGAAAAATTCCTGAACGATTTTGCCTAATCTAAACACAGCAAATTGATTTCTCTCTGCTTAAAAATCACAGTTGAAGACAAATCTATCAGTGGGAAAGAACATTTTCATAGTGTGTTAAAAGGTCCTTTAATTAATAGTAATAAAAAATAGCACTGATTTCTGAACTGCTAACCAGCATCCTTGGTCTAGACAATTTGTGAATAAATATCTTTTTTTAAGTGTGACCAAATTTCTTTAAATTTGACATTATGTTAAAGGAGCAGCTTGGGAAGTTAATTGATTAACATACCTTTTTAATTATCAAATAAATAAAAATCAGTATGCTATTTATAACATCATGGCAGTTCTTCCAGCTCTTTAGCTTTTATATAGAGATACTGAGACAATGGCTTCACAGCTTTTGCAGATGGTAGAATCACTACAAAAGTAGAATTTGGAGAAGTGAATTACATGTACCATGAGCTGTATGGAAGAGCATACCCCAATTTGTTGTGTTTGGTTTGGTTGTTTTTTATTATTATTTTTAACTTCTTAATAACACGAGAATGTTGTTAATTAACATTTGCGTTTTGCTTTTTGACAGAACAAAGCACCTCTGGTAAATGAAAGCCTGAAAAATTTTTTGAGTACAAAAGATGGTAAGTTCTGGTTAGCATGTCTCTCAAAATTAAAAACAACAGTGAATAAAGGATTGAATCTTTCATGACATAAAGTATGCTTTGATTCTTATCAATTAGATGTAGTTATTATGACTGACTTCAGAATAGAGTACAGTCTAGAATTTTTAAAGTTAATGTTGCTGAAGTTTTATTTTTAACTGAGGTGACTGGTATGTTTGAGTTAATATTTCATGATGAGTAAAGCCATTTTAGGCAGCTATCAGTGAAAACAGATTGCAGAGGTACAATAGTGAACATACATAAGAAAAATGCCAAAGTTGTGTTTTTAAAAGATCAGAACAATGAAAGCAATGCCAGAACAAAGAGAAACCCCAATCCCTATACTTGAATTTTGGACTCAATTCCTTTTTTCCCCTGCATTATTTCTGACTTTAAATAATTTAGTTAAAATGGTTGAGTTAGAAATTTGGGAACTGCTACACAAATCATGAATTGGATATGATGTGGACTTGCGTGTGAGATGGTAGTTTGAATGTCTAAATCATGTTTGTAGAAGTGTTGTTTCAGTGTAGTTGTTCATCTTGAAGGCATGTATGTGTTATAACTTTGAAGTAAGTATTGTTTGTCTGGTATATTTCTACTTAATTTTTACATTTTTTTAATTGTTTATTGATGTTCTAGGTCGTGTGGTGGCAGGTCTTGTTGCAGAATTTCTACGATTTTTCAATCTTGATTTTACGCTGGCTGTTTTTCAGCCTGAATCAAGCACAGTAAGATATACTGTTTTTTGCTTCTGTGTGATGCTGATCCTTTGGAGTGCATGCCAGTTGCTTGTGTTTATTCTTATAATTTTTATAAAATATTTAGCATGTAAAAGATATGCTCTGCCATGAAGAAAAGTTTAAATGTGCTTTATATGATTATTCCCTTTCAAAAGTCAGTGTTTGATGTGTTAAATTTAAATTAACCAAGTAATAATTCTTGGAAAACCATGGCAGACTATACATGAGAGAAGTTTTCTATAATCTTACCTTGACATATTGTGAACTTAACATTTGTATGTGAAAATTAAAATCAAGTAGATGTCTAGTCTGAGAGAAATTTCGGAGGGACAAAGGACATCAAAGTATTTGCTTTTAGGTTTTTGATACTGAGGTAGCTTGTCTCTCAAACCAATTTCTTTTTCTCTTTGTGATATAAACATTTCCATAATAGATTTTGGGATTGAAATGGTTCCACTTGATGAATTCCTCTTTTCATTTCATATTCATTTTTATTCTTAAAATCTCTTTTCAATTTGCTTTTTTTTTAAAAAAAAAAAAAAAAACTATTCTTATTCAAAGAGTAATTTTCTTTTTCTTCACTTGGATTAGATATTGATTTTTTATTGTTTTGGCAAAAAATGACCAGAGAGATAGTCATATGAACATGTGAGCATAGATTAGAACAATCCAAAACTGAGGCTGTACAAATGATATTTCGCTGTTCCTCAGAACTCCATGTTTCCTTTTTGGGAACTTAATCACACTAAATCACATACACTGTTTTTTTTGTTTTTTTTTTTTTTTTTTTACCAAATCTCCTTGTCTGCATTTATTGCACTAGGAGACATCTGTGCTAAGATTCAGATTTATACTACTAAACAGAAACAGTCATGTGTTCTCCCATGTTGCTAACTGTTTTTTGGAAGGAGTGTTTTATTGCAGCACAAAGGCATCCAGTGCTCTTTGAAGCACTACCTTTTTCCAGTAAAAGCCTCTTCTTTCTAAAAGCCATCTGTTGCAGTGCACGTGTGGAAATTGGCCAAAGTTTCAAAAGTTGACCGAGACTTCTGTGAATTATGCTGAAAGATTTTGCTCTATTTTTCTATACTAGTCCCAGTCTGAGCGCTAAGTTTTTATCCTCCATGGTGTGCTTGGCTAGTGTTCTTGTATTTAAAACAATTTTGAGTGATCAGTAATTAAATTCATGTGCAGATCAGAAGTAAATGATGTTATTACAATGATGTTATGACTTTATTGCATATGCAGCAGGAAGTCTTCAGTAATCACTGGTTAGTCTGATTATTGCTCTATTAAATAAGACCAACGAGCTTTAGGATTTTTTACGAAACACATACTGTTTCCTGACAGTTTCTTCTGTGTTGTGATTTCTTTTTTGATATTTTTTTTTCCTCACAGCTAAATGGCCTGGATGATCGAGAAAACTTAGCTCGAGATTTGGGAATTACAGAAGAAGGTACTGCAGGTGGTCCCCTGTTGTTGGAGGTTGTTAGAAAATGTCAGCAAAAAAAGATATCAGGCAATGAAGAAGTAAGTGCAGTTAATGTAATTTCTTTCTTCATAATCCTTTGTTTTTATTTCATTGATGAGAAATGAACTGAAAAACACTTGCGTTGTTTCAAGCCTTTCAAGTTAGTATATTAGGAAAAGCTTTCAACATAATTTATCAGAAAACAATGATGAAAGTTACTTTTCATGCTACTCTTTAATTTCTATCTTGCTACAACGTACTAGCAGGGTGAACCCAGAAAAATGATACAAAACATTTTTTTTCTAATTTCTAGTGTGATTAGTTAACACCTTTAATGATTATCTGTTGTATCTTTGTAATCCTAGATTTTTCAGGTCTTAGTAAAATTAGAATTGGCTTTTTTAAAGCTTTGTAACTGTTCTTAAAACAAATATTTTAAAAATCTAAATACATGAAAGTATTAAAATATCTTAAGGCTATTTTAATGGAGTATATAATAGATATTAATTAAATTAATGGAATCCAACCAGTAGCATTTTATTAGTATCTGTTGTGATTGTGGTTGGAAAGAAAATCCTCTGCACATCAGATATAGTTGGTCCATCAACCAATTCAGAAGTGGTTGTCATAGTCTTCCTAACGCAGCAGCATAGTGTCACAGCTTGCATACAGCGTGAGAAGGAACAGTAGTCTTGTTTCTGTTGGATGGTACTATGACATAATTCAATGTATTTCTAATAAGTATTTATGTGGCACATTTTAGGTGGCCCCAGTTCTAAGTGATGGCCTGTGCTCCACGTCAAAATCATCTGATGGAAGATCAAGTACACACCCCATACCGAGTAAGGTAAGATGATTTGTATGTCATGCAAAAGTATACAGGAAAAGCAAAGCAGTGGACACTAGTGGTACAATGGCAATTACTTAAATAATCCACAGTTTTCTGTCATTTTTCTTTGTTAATACTACTTTATGCTCAGATACCAAGTTATAAAGGATTCTGTAAGTGGAAGAAGTGTTTGGATTAGGAGTCTGAGCAGGTAAAACGCCTGCTCAGAGAATATGCTAGCCTGTATTTTATGCCTTCCTTTACAGGAAGAAAGAGTGTAGAACCTTTTGAGTTGGAAGGGACCCTTAAAGGTCATCTAGTCTAACTCCCTTGCAATGAACAGGGACACCACAGCTAGATCAGGTTGCCCGGGGCCTGATCCAGCCTTACCATGAGTATCTCCAGGAACAGGGTTTCCACCATCTCTGGGCAAACTGTTCCAGTCCCTCACCACCTTTATGATAAAATAACTTCTTCCTTATATCCAATCTAAATATCCCCTCTTCTAGTTTGAAACTGTTTCCCCTTGTCCTATCACAGCAGACCATGCTAAAGAGTCTGTACCCTTCTTTCTTAGAGCCCTTCCTCCCACTTTTAGGTACTGACAGGCTGCTATCAGGTCTCTCCAAAGCCTTTTCTTCTCCAGGCTGAACAGCCCCAGCTCTCTCAGTGTGCTGGGAGGTGTTCCAACCTTTGGATCGTTTTTGTGCCCCTACCCTATATACTAACAGATTGTTTCTGCGCAGCAAAAAGAGTTGACTGGGGTTCTTACAGAGTTGGCTCTGTTCATAAGCTCTTCATTGTCCTTTCCACATTCTGAGAACATTTGGCTATTCTGTACTAAGTCCTGTACCTATCTGACTGGGTACATAACAGCACGTGAATGTCTGTGAGATACTGTGAGGCTGCTTGTCGTCTTCTTAGTCAGTTGGCTGATTGCGGTTTGGAACTGATAAGGATACAACTGTCTTTCCCTTGGGGTCTGTTGCTTTCTCTTCAGTCTTTTTGTGTTAACGCAGAACTAACATCTTGCAGACCTTTATCTTTCATTACACTTGACTGGAACAGTTCAATAGGTCATGAACTTATGGAAAAATGTATGGCGCTGATAGGGGCACAATCACTTGTTTATGCCAACTATCCAACAAAAAAAAATGACTCAAGTACTCAAGTTTGTTAATTGATGTAATTTGAGCATGTTATAAGTTTGAAGCTTTTTTTTTTTTCCCAAGATAACTGGAAGCAGCTTAGAAGCTTTCTAACATGTCACTGAAAGCTGAGAAATATAACACTGCATGGGGTTGTTATTATTTGATCTATTTGGAAGAGGGGAGTGATTAAGATAAAAACAAAAAACAGTTTGGATCTGCTTCATTTTATTCCATTTCTTCAGTTGTGTGCCATGCAAAATCTGAGAATGATACCATTAGAAATGCAAGCTTCATTTCAAGACTAAGTCACTTTAATTGCTCTTTGTTGATTGTTTCTTAAACAGCTAGTATTTCTGTAATTGACCTTTCAGTGTAATTCTAACCATTTCATTTTTGCGATAGAAGATAATTCTTGCTTGGCCCAAGCTTAGAGGAAATAAATCCAAATGTTCATTTAAATGTCAGTGTTAGGTATGGAGCAACAGTATTACTGAACTACTTCTGTCTTAGGTTGATATTAAATTAGTCAAGAAGTACTATTGAGGATGAAATTACAAGTCATAAGTAATCCATACTGCCTTGCATATGCCACCTTTCACCTTCAATTTGTGTGTGTATGTGTGCACAGATATCTCAAGGTTAATCTGACCTGAAGTGTAGAATGAGTTTTATTCATTTGTTTGTCCTTGATGGAGATTTTTGCAATGCAGTTGATAATTTGTACCTATTTGGTAGTGGTTGCAGTTAGCCAGCCTGACACATGTTAGTTAGGTGTAGGTGGAAGGAGACAAGGAGAAAGTATAAAATCTTAAGCCTTGTAAGTGAAAGATAATAGCTGATTTTTAAACAAAATCAAAACAAAAACATCTCACAAAACCACCCATGGTCAGTGCAGTGTGTATGCTGCTTATTTGGAACGAACAACATTATTGGTTTTGCTTCAAAATTGTTGCTGTTGTTGGTCTATAGAGTTTGTAAAGTGAATAGATCTTCTCATTGCTTTCATTTTCATTTTGTTGCACCAGGATGATATCTACATAAATTTAAACGTTGTTCACTGGGCCACAAAGTTTTGCAAAGATAGGAGTTGATCTGTATTATCTGATTGTACTATATATAGAGCAGTCCTTAAAAGCATGAGTATAGAACTGAGCCATGAGCATGATTGGAAAACTGAAAGTTACCTATTCTTAGATACTTTGTTTGTATTGTTTTAGTCTTTATACTTTTTCCCTTCCAGTACTAATTATCTGCAGTCATGTTACACTTGCTTCCTGGAACATAGTATTACTTCACGGATTGCCATTTGGTGTAGTTTTCAGGTTGTCTTAGAGGCATGCTCAAGTAAGCAGGTCTATCACTGAAAATTGAAAGTCAGGATATGAACCTCTTGTTATGTTCCAAGCCATTCCAACTATGCAATTCACATTTGTAGTCTCTTAGTGAAATTACAATATAGGGCAAGCTTTCTTTTGCATGAAACAGTAAATATTTTTGAAGCTAGGTTGAAAGTATTTCTTTTTTTTTTTTTTTTTAAGATGGTGTCATTTACATGAGTTTAAATTGATTTATTTTGGAACTGATGATTTTAACTCAAAAGAAATTGTTTATAGAGGAGTTGCAAAGTAACACTAATTAAAAAAATGTCACATGCTTTAAAAATGTATTCAAACCTAGAACTTAAGAAATAGCATCTATGTAGATTTCTTCATTTCATGATAATCTTCTTTCAAAAAGGATTGCTCTTTTAGTAGAGCAATCATCTAGATATAAAACCATGCAAAGGATAGAACAAACTTTTTTTAACAGAGAGTAACAATAAAGAAATTTTCTGAAGTCATTTAAAAACAACTTTTTTCTGTTTTATGATTTCTGATGAGTACAGAGGAGTGCTAATAACATCTAAAGAACTTTTAAAAAAGTAGTGTTTGGTTAATATTATGATACATGTATACTACTGCTTACAGTGTTTTAAGAAATAAGAACAGTTTATATAGGCTTTCTTGAAGAGAAGTTACCTTGTCAGTCAGTGAGGTCTGTTTTCTTTATCTTTCAAGGTTACTGAAGCTACTCAAAGTGATACGAGTGTCTCGTCAGGGGAAGCCAGCAAAAGAAGCATTCATTTTCTGCCTAATGAAACAAAACTAGATCCTCAGTTGCAAAACAAAGACTTAAATACCAAAGAAAAAAGTGATCCAGGTGTGGATGAAGATGATATAGAGGGAGATTCTTTTTTTGATGATCCTATACCCAAACCAGAAAGAACTTATGGTTGGTAAGTGGTGTGAAGAGACATAGGTTTCTTTTGTGCTCAGTATGTTGCATACCTTCAGGAGCTAGCTGACATTTGATTGCTCACTCTTTGTAAATGCAAGTGAACTATTTTGTTTCTGAAATGCACGTCTCTGATCTCTTGACTGTACCAGAGAGAAAAACCCGCATCGCTCTGAGGTGCATCAGTTATGCCACATGATGTCCCCAACCTATTTCTTTTGTGGAATGAACACGTGTGAGTTACAGGCACCGGTGTTTCTTGTTGCAGTGGAGCTGCAGTTGTGACCAACATTAAAGAAGTGAAAAATGAGAAAGGTGGTGCTTTAGATATTTGTAAGGAATACAAAATATCTGGCAAATATGTTAACTGTAAGCATAAGTAACACTTCCTCACCACTGAGGGTTTCCTCTTCACACCGCAATACTTTTTGTGTGCAGTTCTGTTTTCAACAAGTTGTTTTTTCTGTGGCCAGATCTGATCACTGGCTCTTGGCTTCAAATGGTATTTTTCAGTGATTGAATTGTACAGTAGTTTTGTTACAAAACCCTACAACTTATCTTTGGGTGTTCTCAGAGTTGTGGTTATTTTGGGGCTTTGTTTAACTATCTACTGAGAAAAGCTGGAACATCATTTCGTGGTGTTCTTTTGCATTTTCTTTATAATAAGTTACTGGACTCTAAGAAAAAGATTGTTTGTTATTTGTTTTTCATTGGATATATATAAAGAACAGATTCTTTTTTCTTGAATGGTGGTCATTTTTCTTTGGAAAATATTATGTGTTACGAATTGCCCAAATTGTGTGAGTTGACTTTTCCTTAGGAATTATCAGTGCATTTACTCTTCCTTATTCAAGGGCATCAAGTAGTTGTTAACCAAAACCTAACCATTGTAACACATGGTTGTGATTCCATGAAATAGGTTTAAATGATGAACATTGAAAATCTAATGAGGATATTCTTAGTGGATAAACTCCCTTCAGGAAAAGTAGTAAAGTCACAGCCCCCTGACTGTTGTACCTCATAACATTACTGTGATTTAGGTATTATAGTAATGTTCCATAATAAAGCCTGTTAAATATGTAAATAGTAGTAAATGAGTTAATGACTAACTATAACAGAGCTGTTCTTTTTCAGCCTGTTGCTTTTAGTGTCTTTGCACCTCCTCTAGAGCAAAAGAAAAATAAATAGATTTTTCAGATGAAATAAATCTGTTTGTGTTGTGCTCGTGCACCTGAATCTGAAAGAGTGGTTAGGAGGAGGAACACCAAGGTTAATTGGTTCACAAAAACTGTAAGTTCTTTTGCCTCTGGAAGAAGGATTCTTTGTAGAAGGAAGGTAGCAAGCAGTTAGTAACGGTTGATTAAGAGTTGGCCCAAGCTCTCACTTGCCCAAGATCTCTGAGCCATTGTTCAAAATTGAGGTGTTAAAATTACATGGTATTTTGATGGCCTAGATATAATGATACAATGAACGACTCAGATGATATTGTTCAAAGTTTATTGGAATACAGTCAGAATAATGGACAAGTCTGGCAATATCGAATGTGAAAATCATGGTCTCTTTTTTAATAGTGGTTTCTTTATTCTTGTTTTGCAATTTTATTTATTTGTTTGTTTGTTTGTTTGTTTGTTTTGCAATTTGAACTTGACATTTCAAACATATGAGCAGACTGAATAGTAGCCAAGTGAACTTCAACTGGTGGTGGTGAGACGTATTTTGCTATAACTGAGAAGTTTTCCTTCTGTTGGGCTGAGTGCTCTTGAGAATGAACAGTTTCATCAGACCTTAAGCTAAGCTGACTTAAACCCTGACCTGTGTCTGAGTATATCTGAATCTTTCATCTTTTGACTTTTTTTACACATGTGTATTATAAAAAACCCTTTGTTAAAAATGACAATGCTAAAGAAGGTGTGGGAGTTCTGTTAGAGAAGGAAGTTGGGCAGAAGCCTTTGCATAGACGAGAAAGTGACCTTGGTGAATGTCTTGCTTGACATTTGTGCTACCTGATGACTGTTCTTAGGCTGCAAAATGGGTAGTCTTTTTCCTTTATTCTTTTTGCTGTCCATATGGCTGTTGTAATTTTATGACAACTGAATAAATAATAGAAAAGAAAGTCATTTATTTGCATTTTCCAGCTCTGTGGAATACTTCTTTGGTTTGTTCTAGGAAAACTGATTCCAGTAAAGCAGGAGGTCTAGCATCCCTTTCTGATGCACCACCTCTGAAAAGTGGGTTAAGTTCTCTGACTGGTGCACCTTTGCTAAAGGAGCCTGATGGTAAGTTTTCACATCTTTTTGTGTTTCGATGAGTGTAGGAGATATTTCTCATAACATAATGAATAGTCTGTGTATTCGGATATAAGTTGCCTGTATGTGGCCCCCACCTGTTTGGAATGTCTTTTTTTTTTTAATGCTCATTTCTGAATGATAGTATACTGTTTTTTTGCCAAATTATGGCACATTGGTACATCTCGTATTTTGGAGCATGAAATACCTACTTCCATTTTCTGTGTAAAGCAGTTTACAAGAGTTTAAAATCCTACTGCTCATTTTTAACTTTTTACCACATTATTTGCATGAATTCTATAGAGATATTTAGGGAGATTTGCAAAAGACCCTTGAATACTGGGAGATTGGCTATTGTTGTTGTTCATGTCTTTAAATGTTAGCACAATTCAGACTTGAAAGTTGAATGTAGTACTACCACGATATATTGTAAAATTATATAAAACTACTATAAAATAATGGTTATTATAGATTGCCCAAATGGGAACTTATTGTAGTCATGAGCCAAATTTCTGCTATGGTTTGGTTTGATTTTCCTACAGATCTAAATAGAAATTCTGTTTTGAAAGACCTGAGGTTGGTGAATGCAAAACTGGGATCTTTAGAATTAGGTAAGTAACAACTGAGCACGATTAAGCTTTGACATTTTCAGCTCAAAGCTCTGCCCAGCCTCCTAGAGGAATCTGAGAAAATGAAATATACATAATGAAAGAGGATCTTCTTCTCCTGTTATTTTGTTGGAAAACATTGTGAGACCTACTGGAATTGGGAGCAAGATCAGATGAGAAGAAATACAGAGAAGTGAAAACTTTTAAGTTTTGTATGCAGATCAGTATTTTATGCATGCAACAAAAATTTGATTTATTCCATTCGTACTTTTCTAATATCAGATGATGTATTTTGTTGTCTAGGTTCCTAAGAAACGAAAAGTTTGTTGTTGTTTTTTTTTTTTAAATAACCAGAAAAGTTATGATTCTTCATTTGCATTTCCTGAAAAATAAAGTTCTTTTTATTAATACCTTCTAAAAATTGTTTAGGAAATGGAGATGATGACGAGTATGCTGATGACTTCAATAGGTAAGAGAGATGATATTGCAGAAGCACAAAATTCATACATTCTAAATCCATTGACATACTTAGATTAACTCATATCCTGGCCAGTCGCTAGTGCTGGACCCTGCCAGTATCTCTGAACTCCTCTAAACTTCAATTTGTTAATAAGTATAGTTAGAAATCTTTTTAAGGAGGGGGGGGAAAAAAAAAAAAAGCAAAATACATTGCTTTGGTGTAGTTTTAATGAGTTATTTAAAAGCCTGATGTTAACTTTAATATAGTCTCTATCTTTAAGCTGCTTATTAACTGAAGTTGTTCTTTTCCTAAACCATGCACTTAGAGATGTTTTACTGCTTAATTAACACTACGAAGCAATTATTCCATTAAAAAAAAAAGAAAAGCATCATGAGTAGTCAGAAATAAATATTTAAGATTATTAAATTATTAAAAGATAAATCTTTTTAATTAAGATATTATTATTGTAAACTGTAGGACTGAGGCATAAGCAAATATTTATCATGGCTCCTTCTAGGTAGAAGGCCTTTAGTTATTATGGGTTTTTAATTAATTTCATATTTAACTTGCTATGAATATAAATGTAATGCTTGGACATTTGAAAAGAAAGTTCTAATTCTCTTTCTTCTCAGTGCCAGCCATCGCTCAGAGAAAAGTGATATCAGTATTGGTGAAGAAATAGATGAAATATCTGTGGAAACAGAAGGCTTGAATGCCAGTGATAAAGTATGATTCTTTTCAATTTGTTCTTTACCTTTTTAACCTCCTGTGAAGGAATGTGCTGCTCTCATGGGTTTCTAAGTTATTTCTTAGTTATTGTTATTTGTTATGTTCTGTTTTTTTACACTTAGCATTCCTGCCAAGTTAGGTACTATACTGATTTAACAACAAAAAAAATAAGTGATTTGGTAGCACAATTCTGTTTCTAGACACATAAAACAGATTTGCTGCTGGTTTAGTATCCAGTATAAGGAGGCCTTATCTTTTATTTCAAGATTTATCTATGAACCTCCTGAATGAGTTGAAGTCCCAATAAAAGGACCTGATGTCCTATTTTGTGAAATAATGCTTTTCTTTTTCCTATACTTCCTGAGCTTTTGATTTCATTTGTTTTCCAGCTTGAAGACATAACACAAGACCATACCGTTTCTCAGTTCAGTGATGTTGCAGATTATCTAGAAGATGTGGCATAGAATTGGACAGCAAAAAACGTTTCAGTGTGCTGGACTACAAGACTACTGTGGACTGTTGAATTCAGACAATCACTTTTTGCTGGAAAGTCCACTCCCTATTTGTGCCTTGTTTAATAAAGACTGTAGGTGGAGAGGGCTTCTTTACAAGATATAAATGAAATGATGTGTTCCCGTTTGAGTCTGATATTGGAATTACTTTTTTCATTTGGTTCAGCCAAACCTTTCACAGCAGGAGTTGGATTTTCCAAGCAGAATGTCCATTGCTGGCAATGGGCTTAATAAAAAGCAGTCTACAAGAAAAGATCTACATGGAGTCATGCGGCTTTATAATGAACTTGCACTGTTATTGTAACAGTTTGAAACGTTTTTAAAGATAACCAAAGCAAGAGTCTTCAGAGGTAGTGCTTCAACTTCTACTTCTTTTTAAGAGTTTTGTCCAGTCAGCATGTCATACATATTTGTAGTAAATCTAGCCACAATACCTAGGCGCTCCAGACTCACTTGAAACTACTGTTTTTCAGACTTTTTTGGAAGTTGGACTTTTTAAAAAGACTTATCAAGTTGAGCATATCTAAATTTAGCTAAGTTTAGGAGCTAAATTTAGTACTAATCTTAACTCTGAATATTCTTGTTTAAATATGTTTGTCAGACCATTGATGTTAAGACCTAAGCTGTTTTTATGTATGATAATTTCATTAGTGTTATTGGTTGTTAAATCATGAAAATTGATTATGTAAGGATCCACAAATCATTATATTTTTGGTTGTTTTGTTGGTTTTTTTTTAGGTTTTTAAAAGTGTGGAAATGGTTTGTGGAGCTGTTACTGTTGAGGGCTCTTCCTTTGCTGTAAGCTCACTAATAGTCCTGAAAATCCTCGCTGTGCAAAAATGGGCGCCAAAAAGTGAAAACACTAACTGTTTTTCAGATTCTGATTGCCATAGAGAAATAAATTCAGATATTTAGAACACCTTACTGAAGACATTTATCAATGCTAAGTTCTAACTAAGAGCAAATTTCAGTGTATTCATTATACTCTTGCAAAACAGAGTCGGTAATGGAAACAGTGACAGTTCCTTAACGATGCCATTTTGCATAGCGCTGCTGTAATATATAGGTCGTGGACATTAGTAGTACTGAAACAAGATTTCAAAATGTGCACTTTCTGAACATTGTGAACACATTTGGAAAATATACGTGAATATAAATAACTTATTATTTTTTTTCTTTTTTAACACTTTGTAATTTTCTTTTTCCAGGAAAACTGTTGGCCTCTCATCAGTGGCCACCTCAGAAGTAGCACGCTAAACTAAAGCCATTGGTTAATTAAGTAAATAGAGCTGCTACTAGCATTGGATGCTGATTTGGATCTTTCTTGCACTGGGCCAGCAGGCATGGAGCAGTGCTGGAAAGTTAGGCTTTTGTAGTACATAAATAATGAGAAGAGAGGAGAAAAGTTGTGCCTTTTATTTATGTGCGCCCCAAAATAAGCCAGCAAAAAGCACCAAAATATTTAGTCACCTTTAACTTCTGACTTTGTGCCATGTTGTAGCAGCTTAACAGGAGAATTTTTTTTACCCTGGAAATCAATGTGCCATAGGCTTCAGATAACAATGATATTGTAAGAAATAACATAACTGTGAGTAAAAATTACTTGAACTATGGAGGAACATGTGTCTCAAGATACTACATGTTAAAAGGTTTTTTTCTGATTGAAATCTTTTTAAAGTGAGCAATAACATGTCTGAAGGATGTAAAATTCAACTTGAATGCATGGGAACAACGAATTGCTGACGTTCATTTTTAAGGTGTGTGGAATAATGTAGACAGTGCCATTTGCATTTTTTTGTGTCTTGGGAAAACATAGTTTTATTACCTGTTAGCTGTAGAATCTCTTGAAATTTGTCATACCAAAAGAAGCTAAAACTATTAAATTATTTCTAATTGCATATGGAGATGTGGCCTTTAACTAATTAGATACTTTAAATGTTAACATGACTTCTGTTAACAGCAAAGTGTTTTCTCTTTCCTTGGGGACTGATTGGAGACCTTGCACTTTGATTCTCATTTAAGGAAATGCCAAAGTGGTAAGTCTCCTGTGAGGTTTTGCTGAATTGTGTATAATAACTTGCAAAATAAAGCTATTATGCTGGCTAAACTGTATTTTTGAGACTTATTGAATAGAAAAAGATCTTAATGTTTAGAAAGTTTGGGAAGCCCTGTGGGTTTGGGGGATTTTATTGAAAAATATTTTTTCATTTGTTCTCCTCTCCAGAGTCAGTCTAGTCTGCAGTTGAGAGCATGTGTTTGCGCTTACGTTTCTTTTAAGCCCAGTGAATCCTGCAGTTTCTCGTATTGATTCATAAAGTCTGAGTTTTTGGGTATCAGTATGACTTGTCAGATATCTTATGATTCAGCAGAGAGGGGAAAAAAGAATGCTACTTTTATTGGCAAAATTTTGTCTTGTTTAGTTCAATTGAATTACTTAGAGATGACTGACAAGTTTAGCTCTTGAATGCTTGCTTTGTTGTACATTTCAAACCATCTTGCTTGGTATTCTACATTTGACTCCTTTAAGGACAGTTGTGTAGTCAACCTCTTCTGCACGTTAGAATTAACAAGTAGAGCCCTGGAAGGTGGAACTGTTCTTGTCTGCTGTATTTCTTCTATCTTTCCCCAGACTGCTTTGTGAACGGAGAAGGAATTGTCTGAGAAAGGCACTTAAAGTTGGTCTGTGCAGCTTTGCACCAATAGGTTTGTTCAGTAACATACGTTGTGAAACCCTCAGACACTTTAATTTGTGCAACAAATCCTGGGAATTCTGTGAGACAAATAATTAGGGACTAAGTTATAGCTGACAGTCCCATCATCACAACTGTGGTGATGATGACAGATGATTTAGAAAACACCCTATACCTGTCTCACTTCTTTGTTGTGAAGTTGCTGTGTTCCACTTCACTTTCTTGTTTTTATTTTACTCTTTTTTTTTTTAAGTGAATGAGAAACCACAGTGCATCTGATTAAATATTTCATCATAAGTGACTGTTTCCCCAACTGTAGTAAAAAACCATTCTCAGCAATAGGTTATTTTGACTACATTGTTATTTGAATCACAGAATCACCAAGGTTCGAAAAGACTTAAAAAATCATCCAGTCCAACCATCCACCTATCACCAATAGCTCTCACTAAACAATGTCCTTCAACAGAATGTCCAAACGTTAATCAGCATCCAAAATGATTATCCATTATCTAGCTCTTCAGAAGACTTAGAACACTTATGTAGATGACATGTGAATTGAGTGCTGATGGTAAATAAGATTTTTTGTTTTTTTGCATTTTAACATAGTAATTGTCACCGAAGAAAGACTTTATAAAAAAACCAAGCCTCCTTTCTGGGAAATAATGCATTCTTGAATAGTTGAGTTTGATTATAGACAAGAGGTGACTTAACTTCTGTTTTTAGTATTGTCTAGACTGCAGGAATTGAATCTCAGCAGGATGACTACAGAGTTTACTGTTCATTTCAGAAGTGCCAGATGTTTGATAGGTCTCTTTTTTTTCTTTCATTGTTTTCATTGTAAGCTAAGGTCAAAAAGGAGTTAAATTGTAAGGGGTACAGTTTTGGTAGATTTGTGATTTCATTCGTCCTGAAGCAAAATGCTCTACAGACCTAGATGTAGTCAGCTATTGCATAACAGAAGTTGCAACATGACTGTCCTGATTTCATTTGGCTACATGATGTCATTAACTTAGATTGAACCTCTGAGAGAACTGCAATGAACACTGAAAGTGTCAGTTCCTTTGTGTATCACAAGCAGTACAAAATTCCATTAAAAATGGAAAAAATGCCTCATGATCTCATGCTTACAATTCCTGTTTTGGGGTCTGGGGGTGTGATTTTTAAATACAGAACAGTAGGGAAAATACATAAGCTGTCCTTATATGTACAAAATGTCACTTTGAACATGTCCATAAACTTGAATATTTACCTTTCAGGGAAAAATGTGGTAATTAAGTATGGGAAGAGGAAGGAGTTTTGCTCTTTTGCATAAAACTGTCTGAGGAATGATAGATCACAACAAAGCTGAACATAAAAGCTTACTTTGGGGAGCGTTTTCTTTGTGCAGTGAGCTGAATGTTTGCTTTTAGTGTTGCTGTTTTAGTGTATTATTTGATCTAGGGGATAAGAAGCTTCTCAAAAAACTTTTCAAAGCCTTATAAGCAAACAGCAGGAGAAAAGCTGCAGACCTCATGCTCGTGAGCTAAATGAAGCACAGCACTGAACTGAAAGACAGAAGGAGGAGTTGAACAATGGCAGGAAACCTAATGGGGCTGAAGCAGCTGTGCATCAGGTTTCAGTGTGTTAGGAGCAGCATAAGGTGGGAGAAATATAGCCATGTACTGAGGCTAGGAAGCTTTTGCTGAGCAGTGAGGAGGAGTGTAGACTTGTCTTCATCTCTGTGCTTAACAGTGTGACTGCCATGAGCAAACAGCAGTAAAGGAGTTGGTGGAAGAGGATGGACAGAAAAGCCATAGGCAATGTGGGAAACCAGTATCATCATCAAAGTAATGATGGTGACAAGACAGGATGCATGTACAGAGGGGGAGGATCAGAGTTAATGCTTGAGCAGGGCAAAGGTGATTTCTGTGAGAATGAAAAGAGATTTTTCTCGAACTGCAGATGTTTATTTGGAGAAGTGTAGGGCTCTGCCAACAGAACAATCTTACTGGCATCTAGCTATGCCATTGGAGCCAGTGATACCAAAGGAAAGTGGCAGGTAACAACAGTCAGGAACTTCTACAGGGCATCACCCTGTCAGTCAAACATGTTTTGGAATTTTTCCTTGCCTGAACTCATCTTTAGTACATTGTTGAGAGGCTGAGGCTCTCAGGCTACCTTGTTTTTTGTGCACGGGCCTGGAGATGTTGGAGGGGATCTGGGGTGACTGCTGGACTCTGGGGCCTCAGCTGAAGGAGGAGGGAGCTCCATCGCCATTCTTGTTTCTCCTGGGCAAGGTGGAAGGCTTAGGTAATTGTAGATACATTTTGCAGATCAATGCTTGACTGCATGGCTAGGGTCACAGGGGGGCTTTGTTGTTTTTGTGAGGTTTTTTTGGGTGTTGTTTGTTGTTAATGGCCACAGGACCTCTGAGGAATGAGGATTGCTAGGAAAAGTAAGATTCACTTGATGATGATTAGGGTCTTTGCTGACAGAATTCCTAACGTGTGGCTAAGATGTTAAACTAGGTTTGTTGGGCGTGGAGACCAAAGCCTACAGGCATGTGGGAGTTCAGGAGTGCAGAAGTTCCCCACCACGAGAAACTGGAGTGACTCGACCTCATCTGAGATTCTGGTCCATGAACAGAAGTGTAAAAATAAGACCAGTCTGTAATAAACAGGACCAGCCTGTGCAGTCACAAAGCTATGACATCACAGTATGACATTGGAACATCACATTATTGGAATACTGCGATGGCTGGACACAGGCTTGATAGGCAGGTAGGAAAGAGAAATGAGGATGTCCATGTAAATGTGCAGGGAATAAATGGAACACAAACTGTGACAGACCTGCCAAGACCTTATCGTAAGGGATGAAGGGAGGTGGTTGAGTCACCATCCCCAAAAGTGTTTAAAGGGGAAGTCAAGAAAGGGAATATTGTTGTAGGTACCTGCAACGGCCCACCTGATCAAGAAAAAAATGAGGCCTTCCTTAATTGATTCCAAGAAGTGTCCTGATTGCATGCTGTAGTTTTCATGGGGATTTTCAACCCCTCACATTTGCAGGAAGAGCAACATGGCAAGTCACAAACGAGCCCAGAGATAAATGGAGGGTGTGAAGGAAGATTCTTGCTTTAGTGCTGGACAGGATTTTCAGGGATTGGATGCATGGCAGGAGGTTACTCTAAATCCACTGCCTCAGAGTAAGAAAGAACTACTCAGATGCAAAGATGGGCTGCAAAGGGTGACTTCCAGAATGTGCACAGGCATATGGGAACAGTGTGTAAGGGACAGAACTGTTTGAGAGATGAAAGGTTCAGAAGGTAGCAAGAAGAATTTCTGTGAGATATCAGCAGAAGAAAGAAGAAAATGTGGGCCTGCTACTGAGTGGAGTGATAGTGATGAAGAGTAGGAAAAAAAAAAAAAGACTGGGGTATTGTTTCTTTTTCACTCTGTCTCCTGAGAAGGTCTGTTCTCAGGTATTTTTGAAAGTCTGTGGTAATTAAGAGACATTACTTATGATCAAAAAAAGGAAGATATTTAGTTCTTAAAAAGGTGAGAAAGAACAACTTTACAGACCAGTCAGCCTCACTTTAATCCCTGGGAAATTTGATCAAAGTCCTCTTTGTAGCCATTTCTAAGCACATAAAAATAAGGTGACCTAGAACAGTCACCATGGGTTTATGAAGGGCAAACTGCACCTGATCAAAGTGATCACCTGTCATTAGGTGACTGCTTTGGGACACAATAGTGGATGTCATTTTCTCTGACATCAGCTGTAGTTCTTGATAGCGTCTATGAAGCCAAATTGTGGAGAGATGGACTACAGAGGGTGCAGGGATACCACTTGAATATGTTTCAAAGGGTTGTGATAGTGGGTTGAAATCCAGCTGGTGACAGAAATGGTGTTCCTCGGGGCTGAATACTTATCAGCAAACAGGATGGTAGGGTGCACTGCATCCTCATCATGCTCACAGATGATACCAAATAGCGGGCAGCAGCCAATTTTCTGGAGGACAGGGTTGCCATTTGGGGAAAGAAGTCAGATGATGTTGAAGATGGAGCTGGAGCATGTGATCTGTGGAGATCTGAAGCTCTTCTGCCTGTAGCAGAGAAAGCAAAAACTGTGTCTTCCCCAGTTAGAGGAACGGTCTGTAGAACAGATCTGGACCCTTTTTAGAGGTGTTCAGTATAAGGACAACAGACAACAGTCAAATTATATTGGAGAAATTTCAGTGACATTTATGCAATAAACCAAAAATCACCAGGAGAATGGCCCAGGAGTGAAGCAGGTGCTGTGGAAACTCCATATTTTCCATCCTTAGAGATTTTAAAAACAGCCTTGAGCAGCCTAATGGAGCTTCAAAGTCAGTTCCGCTTTGAGCAAGAGACTGGACAGCCAGAGAGCTGTTTCAGCCTAAATTATTTCATTATTCTACTAAAACTAACCTTTCTATCGTTACTATGGGGAAAGACAGAATAAACCTGGCTGCCTCTGTGCATGCAAATATGCAAATTACCTTGATTTCATGTTGAAACTCTTTTGCAACGGAGTGCATGCACACGCTAACTGTCCTGTGGAGGAAGGCCATCATTAGGCATAAAGTAACTTGATTTCAACTCCAACATGAGATTTTTAACTTTATAGAATCATTGATTTTTTAAAGTTGGAGAAGGTACAGGTAAATTCGTTCAGTCCAACCAACATGCCACTAAATGATGTCCCTCAGTGCCATATTTATTTTTTCCTTAAATGCCTTCAGGGACAGTAACTCCACCACCTCTGTGGATGGGCAGCCTGTTCTAATGCATTACCACTCTTTGGAAGAAGAAATGTTTCCTAATATCCAGCAGCCTGAACTAGTCTGGTGCAATGTAAGGCTGTTGCTTCTCATCCTATTGCTATTACCTGGGAGAAGAGACCGACCCCCGCATTGCCACAGCCTCCTTTCCGCGAGTTGCAGAGAGCAATAGAGTCTCCCCTGAGCCTTCCTCTTCTCCAGACTGAACGCTCCCAGTTCCTTCAGCCATTCCCCATAATATTTGCGCTTGTGAGAGTCTCAGAAAATGTGAACTTGATTGCACTCTGTGTAGGCAGCTGCAGCTTACTCTTATTCTTGGATCTATCCGTTTGTAAAAACAAGTCATAAAGCTTCTAAAAATTGTTTTTCAGTTTCTTAGCAACTTTGTGTTGTGTTGTTGGCTTTTTTCTAAGGCTATGGGGAAACCACAACACATACAAAATACTAAAATCAGGTCATTTGCACAGTTCCCCTGTAGCAGTATCTATCACATGACTCTTCACAGCAAGAACAGGTGCTTCAGCTTTTTTCTTAGCTTTCTGCTGTTGTTTTGCTCTGAAATAGAACAATTTCCACCTTTTGCTTACAGTGTTGCTGTCTTGGCCAATAAATGACCTTCAGGGCATGCTGGAAGGCACACAACTGGGAAAGATGTGGCATGTGATGAAGCTGTGCTTCCAGTTGCACTGGTGGCTTAGGCGGTTGTGGAAGAATGACTTTAAACTGACATTCCTGTTATGTTTTAGGCAGATAGTTCTGGTGTTTGGTGTTAGATTATGTGATCAAAGGCTCATCTCCACAACAAGCTGGCAGGGCATTAGGTGGCTGTGATTCCAGGCTGGGCAAAACTGGTGAGAAAAGGCATCTTTCTGGTGCTGAGTGACTCAAAGGGTATGCTTTGAGTTTATGCTTAGTAGCTGAACATGAACTAGTGGGAGAGATAGGAAACTTTGAAGAATTCTTTAAGAAGTAAATTGTAGATATAAGAAGCTGCCATGTTGCCATTAAAAAGCAAGACATCTCGCCATCTCCTATCCAGTTATCACACATGTAGCTTTAGAAAAATACTGTTCCTTAGTTACACACAGAGTGCTAAACTGTGGAAATTTATTGGAATTTGAAACAGTTTTAAGTAGAGGGAGGAAAGATTTAAGTTGGATGTTAGGGGGAAGTTCTTTATAGAGAGAATGGTGAGGTGCTGGCACAGGCTGCTCAGAGATGTTGAGGATGCCTCGTCCCTGGAGGTGTTCAAGGCCAGACTGGATGGGGCCCTGGGCAGCCTGGTCTAGTATTAAATGGGGAGGTTTGTGGCCCTGCATGTGGCAGGGGGGTTGGAGATTCATGATCCTTGAGGTCCCTTCCAATCCTGGCCATTCTGTGATTCTAAATTAGCTAGGTCTGAAGTGGAATTTTTAAGTTAGGCACTTGAACCAGATAGTGGTAGAAAACTTATGAGAAAGTCTGGATTTTGAGTGGTTTTTGTTTTTTGTTTTGTTTTGGTTTTGGTTTTTTTGCACTCTAAATTTCTGGGCCAGAGGTAAAATCAACTCTCATGGACCTCTTCCATGAAAGAGAAATTAAAATTCATGAATACATTCTCTAGTTTGTGGTTTTAGTAAGTGTGTGCTAATTGTGCCAGTAAAAATAAAAATAGCTGCATTGAGGCATAGATCTCATCCAACTGGATAAGCTACTGTAGAATAAACTAGCATGATGATAACACACACAGGTAGCTGTTCTGCAGTGTTTCCTTGCATGCATGCTCATTTTCCATTAAATATCAGAAAGCCTTAAGCTAACCTGTGGAAGGAAAGACACAGGAGCCCAGAGTAAAATACAGGCAGAAATGAATGCCAAGTACAATTTTGAAAGCACTCAAGCTAATCTGTTTTATACAAAGGGAAATAAAATAGCAGGGAGAGACCAGTCCAACCAACAGTGAAGCTAAGAAAGCAGCGGGTGGTAGCAGAGAGCAGCGTTTGAAGCTGCCTGAGTTCGATGCCCTGTCTCTGGAGGTATTCAAGGCCAGGTTGGATGGGGCCCTGGGCAGCCTGGTCTAGTATTAAATGTGGAGGTTGGTGGCCCTGCATGTGGCAGGGGGATTGGAGATTCATGATCCTTGAAGTCCCTTCCAACCCAAGCCATTCTGGAATATGATTCTAAGATTACGTGTGCCACCAGCCAGTATACAAGAGATGGGGCTTGGTGCAGGAAACTTTCTCTTCGTTGCCAAAGTTGTGTTTCCTTCCACAGGGATGTGGCCATGGTCTTGATAATTAAGCAGATATTGAGTTGGGCAATTCAGAGTGGTGAGTAGCAGACAGAGGGATTAACCTGAATTAAAAAATCAGTAAATCTGAAAAAAAAAAAATCAGCAGCACATTAGAGACTGGCTGTGAGAAGCGTTTTGAAGAAGAAAGGCAGAATCCCTTCTGCAAAGAAAAATTGAGGAGGTGTACTTTGGTTTTGCCTCTGGTGTGACATCATAATGGTTGTGATGGAAAACTACTTGGGGAAAGGATGAAAATCTGTATGCCTGTCTGTAGCTGCTCATATAGAGTGTATGATCTCATAGCTCTGGTCAATTGCGTTTTTTTTTCTTTGTGGCACCCTACATCTGACTGGGTTGATGGCTCACAAAGTAAGCACAGCTTATTTGCAGTGCCAGCCATGCACACAGTTGTGCAGCCTATGAAATGCACCGTATTTGGGGGCAGCCACACAAATGTCACTGACTTTCCTCTCCTTGTTCGTGGGGGGAGCAGAACTGCAGAGGGCCTCTTCCTGTGCTGCAGCAACAGCTCCACCTGCTTTGGCTCTAACTCTACAGAGCTGCTGAGATTTGGAGCACTTCTGAGAGAGGAGCTGCTTGTCTCTACGTCTGCCTTTTCTCCCTTTGCTTACAAATAGCACTGATGCTTCCACTCAGATTTAGGGCCAAGTGAAAGTTGGAAAGCATGACAGAGTGCCGTGCATCTC